GATGATGGTGTTTTCAGCTTGATGAAATGATGTAACATCTCTTTCTGTATTTTCAAGCCATTTGGCCTGAATCAATCTGTCATCGTCTGTTACCTCAATCGATACAACACATAGACGGACCTCTCTTTGTGTTTTTACACATTATTTTGAGTTTTTTGCGAATCTAGCTATAAGTTGTGGTGTGTTTTGACCTTTGAAGATATCATCCATTTCCATATTGACATATTCATGATCCTCCTTTACTGTTGGTGTAGAATAAGCGTACAGCGGAAGTGTACCAACTTTGTCTTTTGTAGTTTGACTTCGTATGGCCAGCTGCCGAACACCTTGAAGGTATGATTTTCTATAGTCTTGCAGGAGTTGTACTTCTCCAGGATCCAGATGATTATGCTCCTGCTTGGGAATTTGGGGCATTTTATCAAGAGTCATGTGTATATTAGACGCCATTCGCTCGTAGTATTTTTCATTTGTATGATAAATAAATGGCAGATTGCCTGCTCTCATGATTAAATTATCCACGGCGTGTGGGAACAGTCTACTAAAGTCAAGCATTTCTGTTGTGGTGCTAATGGCTATTCATATTAGGCATGTTTAATTGTTTTAGATAAAATATTTAGGTAACTGGTGACATATTAAGACTTCAGATTCCTTTAGATACCATATACCATATATTTCTCTTATACCATATACCATATTTTTTTCTTCTCTTATACCATATACGATAAATTTTGGCCCCTCTTATACAATATACAATAAATTTTCACGCTCTTATACGATATACGATATCTCTATACACCCCCCCCCCCTTAACATGCCCCCTATCGGCTATCACCCGCTTCAAAATCATAACAGGTTCCTTTATATCTTCCTTTATCTTTTGTTTATAAGAAAAGCTGTTAGCTATCAGCTGTATTTTTGTCAATCAAGATTTCTCTTCATCTGTGAATTACCCAGCGAGAAACCAAAATGGCAATTTTGATGGAAAGACACAAAGTACCAGTCAAAATCTCTGAAGATTTCCGGGCAAACAATGGCAGCTCTCCCAGTTAGGTTTTAGACTGTCTTCTCATATTTTGTCAATTTTATTCAATTTCAAGTATTGTTTTAGAGTTGTGCGTTCAACATATTCGAGAAGTCAATAGCTATAATAAATCTGCAGATTTTGCTCGCATTTATGTAAGCTTTTCTCTTTTGACGGATACTTTGTGTCTTTCCTTGAAATCATGACAGGTGTAACTGATCTACTGAAATCAACTTCAAGTGCTTACTACTATCTCCCAATGTGAGCTACATCAGTGCTTTTTGTTGAGAAAATATGTAAGTTATTAGCCGCTTTTTTGCCGATCAGGATTTAAATTCTCTTTATCTGTCATGTACCTAGCAAGATTCAGAGATTTTGACTTGTACGTCATGTCTTTCCGTCAAAACTTCCATTTTTGGTTTCTTGGTAAAGAGTAGCTTCTCAATGTATAATGAGAATTTGCTGTTCGGCACAGAAGCACCTTTTAATTTTTTTCGATTTTCGCAAGGAGGACACTAACACAATTTTGAAGCGGTTGATAGGGGGCTCTAAAGGCTGTTCTAACATATCAGTCACAGCCTCTGAAAGAGCTAGATCTAAGGCTCTAGCTTTAGGCTAGTCTAAGTCCTATAGATCTAGTAGTCTAGGCCTAGAGTCATAGCCCAGGCATAGGCCCGTAAAAATGTAAAGAAATAAAGCTTACAGCATGTTCTATTTAAGTGAATTTGACTCATGTTATACAGTGGCGTAGCCAGAAATTGGTGACCAGGGGTTCGATTTTTTATGTTATCCACAACCCTCCCCCTTCATCGGTGTACCTCACATAAAAGCATTTTCTGTATTTGTCATACATACAATTCATTCTTTAGTTAGAGTTCAATCACAGATATGTCAAATTCTGAAACATGCGATTCCCACACTTTTAGCTGATTTTTGAATCAAAAGATGTTTATTTCATTTTGTTATAGAGGAGTTCCTAATAACCTCATGAACTTACAGTAACTTACTGAATACTAGTATATTCAATAGCAAATATTTTTGAGAATTAATAATACTTATTTAATCATGGCGCACATTGACAGATGAAAAATAGTAAATTGAATGGAATGAAACAGTCTGAAATTCCAAAAAGACCAAATTAAAATAACAATTGATCAACTGTGCTCTGTAACATTAAACATTTCTTTTAAATTTTAATGCCTTGCAACAAAGAACAACTACTCCTGAAAAACCTATTCGTCCTTTCTTTGAATTGAAAATAAGTTTGGCAACCTTAGCTCCCTCCTCTTTATTTTGACGATTATCAGTGGATCCGTTATTTTTAGAAAATAAAAAGTGATTATCAGGAAGCAATGCATATGGGTACACCACGTGATCTTTTATATTTTTTAACTGTGACAATTAAATACTCATTCGAAATAATAAATCTAGACTTATTTGATACAATCCTTCTTATGCCTTTGCTTTCCTCAGCAAAAGATGACTGCATTTTTCTTTTTTATTTGACAGAACTTTCCACTGCACGTAATGTGTAATGTGTGTACCTTTTTAGCTTACACTTGTATTTAGTACCAGAGACATTACCTAATTCCCTCCCTTAATCCATTTATTTGCTAAACATTTATAATTAATGACATTAACACGATCCACTAAAGTTTATCGTGGTAAGCCACGCCCACTCCATCTCTATCCTTCTGGAGGATCTGCGATGCAACAGAGATGCTATGAGTATCAGAATGACTAAAGTTTGATATTCGTGAAAATAGAGCGTATACTAAATACACCGAAACAGCAACAATCTAAACTTAATATAATCTCCGAGATAAACGGGCATTTGAATAGAAAACTGATTTTTTCGCAATGGATTTATTTTTCCTTAAAAAGTGATGGATAATATTCGATCAATTGCTTGTGTTTATAAATGATACATATGCTTTGAATAATAACTCATTTCAAATTGTTTCTATTATTAAATATTTGCTTGTGAGGACCCCGGGGACTTGGCAAGATTTTTCGTTTGAAATAAAACAAAACGGAGGCGCACAGATTTCAAAGAAAATGTGTTTTCATCAGTCTTAAGACAGTTGGTTTATTTCCCCGTAGATTGAGCAGCTTTTAGGGTGGTCAAAAAAACGCAACCCAAAGAAATCGCTATATTTTGGACAATGCTAATCTTATCCAATCGTGTTCATATTTTCAGGAAAGAAAGGCGAGACTGTGTATGTATAGCTCCTGTTGTTAATTAGTTGAAAAACATGATGTCTGTGTGTATAGCTCTTGTTGTTAGCAATGCCTTTGACACCTGCTCAAAAGACAATTGCACTTGGAAAATACGAAAAACGCAGTCATAGGTGATTGCACTTTTTGGCACTTCAGATTTGGCACAAATTATCCTCATTCAATGTGTGGTGAATTTGTGGACTTTTATCAAAATCACTCCAGGGACTTTACAGTCATGATCAAAATGCCTTCTTAAGCCTGCCTGAACCAGGGCGTTTGACTGCGATTTGAAAGCATTTCCATGACTGTAAAGTCCCTGAAGTGATTTTGATTTCACCCTACAGATTTACCATTATTATAAATTTATTATTATTATTTTATTATAGTGTCATGAGTTAAAATACAATTACATATTTAAAACAATAGTACACTGTTAAAATCACCCCAGGCCCCCTATGGGCCTATAAGACACTTTTGTAAAAACATATTAATCAGGTTTTGTAAATAAAATGTTCCCGTCGCTTAAGCATCCGGTCACAGGCTTTTGCTGTGAAAAGACAAATTCTGTCATTAGACATTAAACACTGAAATTTACTCTCTTCATCTAAATTCATGAAACCAGTTACAATAGTAGAAACGTTTGCATACAAGTCTAAACGGATGTCTTCATAACGAGAACAGTTCAGAATTACATGTCTTTCGTTTTCAATTGCAATATCACATAAGGGACACACCCTTTCATCAACTGGCAGCCTTTCATACCGACCAGTTTCTATTCTTACCATACAGTGAATGAAGATGATTTGTGCCCAATTTGAAGAGCCATAGACCATGGTTAGGAAGTTATTTTATTTTTCTGCGGTTGCAGTCCTCCCTAACTGCGTTTTTCGTATTTTCCTAGTACAGCTGTCTTTTGAGCGAGTGTCCAAGGCATCATGTTTTACAACTAACTATCTACAGGAGCTATACATACACAGTCTCTTCTTTCTTTCTTGAAAATATGAATGTAATTGAATTAGTATTTTTCAAGATATAGCGATTTCCTTGGGTTGCATTTTTTAACACCCTGTAAGTTTGGCGAAATTATCGATATTTCTTCTTTGCATAATGCTCCGGGGTTTTCCCAAAATTAGACAATCCCAACCCGTGCCTAAGGTTGCAAAACTTTTGGAGAGAAGTGTTACTTTACTATTTTTATCTACTGGTCATATAAATTGAATATATGTTTCTGGTTTTTGCAATAAATTTTTCCACAAATATTTTTTGGGGGAAATCGCGACCGGGGGTTCGTCCGAACCCATTGAACCCCCGGTCCCTACGGCATTGTTATACATGTTCCGGGCCTATGCCTAGTATAGTCCCGCAGGACGAAGAAGATAGAATGTAAAAATCAAATTGAAAATCAAAATAATCGAACGAAAAAAAATTGAAAAAGTTGAAAATTCGATTTCGATTCAATTTGATTTTCTGCCATTATAAATGAAATACTGTACTTACCAACATGTTTCTCGGATATATATGTTGTTCTTACTTTATCTTCGCCGAAGATCGATGTTTATTTATATATAACAATCGAATAATCGACGATAATTCAAACTCATCACTACGACACAAAAATATATTACTTTCGAATTGTTTCGAAACCATGTAAACTGCTAAGATGACGTCATTTATATCCGGGATTGCTTTGCAAACTCCACACAACAGAAATGTAATTACAATGATCTCATGTCTTAGTACAAGCTTGCAAATTACATACCATTGGCATCGAAAGATGCACCTTCTCTCGTGCCCTTGCTAGTGGCGTCCTCTGCTACATTGAATATTTTGCCATCTGATCCCAGCACTACGTTACCTCCGGTTATTGTAATGCCTCCTGGTGACCTGTCCATCGTATCAGAATTTGTTGTCCAGTTGTCTTGTATTCTAGAGGTTATTGAAAGAGGGTATTTATACAAATGTGTGTTGAGGGGTTATATACATTCTGTCATCGAACTATAGACGTTACTGGAAGAGAGACCGATATACGAAATGTAATTGTATGTGTATTGAGGGTATATTTAGGTTGTCATACTATTCTAGTATCGTTCTCTCGACGTTACTGAATGAAGGAAACATAGATAAAATGCACTTGTGTCGGAAAGAGACCCAGAGCCCTATTATAAGGGAGTACTGGAGATCCCCGGGGACAAATCTCATTCAGATCCGTAGTCTGTAGCAAACCAAATTTATCTCAGGATAAGGTTATGCTAAAATAGGAAATTATTTCTCCTGTTTTTCTCATGATATAACTGTATGAAAAAGTTCGATTTGAAGGGGGTTAAAAGGAATATTAAAGATACACTTTACACCGAATGTTTGGCAACCATGACCCCCTTGGATTGTCTGTTTATGTCTCAAAATCCCTTTTTACATAAGATCGAAATTTAAGAATGAATTTAATGCCTTTTTAAATCCCGATGTAGCATAAAATGTCGTAAATAGCATAAGCAAGCTTTAATACCGACGTGGCCCGATCCGAGGGCAGCTGATTTGCCAAACTTTTGGAGGGGAGAGTACATTAATTGTTATTGTTTTATATAATTATGATGGTAAAGATCTCACCTGTATTTACTCGTTGTTAGACCTATTGTATGACCTAGATGTCTAGACTGCCTAGATGTATTTCCAGAAATTAACAAAACGCAATGAACAGTGTTTACTTTCGTTTTGAAATAATCTACATTGCACAAAATAAACTATTCAAACTCTGGTTTTAGTACAGGAGAACAAGTGTTTGCAGTACAGGTCATAGTGCTCTTATCTTGTATTTATTAACTACTTTAGAAAATATATTATGTTTAGTTCTGACGTTTGTAAGTATTTACTTACCCTCTGGTCCAAAAAATCTGTGCGTCGTCGTGAAATGATCATGACTTTTGATAATGGAAACCATACAATTTCATACTTCCAGGGTTTTGTGCTATTGTATATGTACCGAAAATGTTTGTAGAATTTGGATAAAATATATGAAATATTGAAAAAATTAGAGATCAGTAATCATAGTGACCCCAGAAATCACTGCTGGGACTTTCTTCGGAACTTTTCCTCGTTTTTGCTAATTCAATGGAATAAAATACTAAAAGCCAGTCTTCTAATATTTCCAAAAATACACTATCAGAGCTTCCGTAACAATAGCTGTACTATTTAACTGTAGCTGGCAACTTCTAACCACAACTTGCAATATTTTAATCTCCAATTTTTTACTTTATTGCTCATTCTGTAGATATGAAGTTGTGCAATGCCAAAAGTGCAATATCTAGGCCTAGTGTGATAGTTCATAGCTAGAAATAGGTTTAGTGACGTTATACAGATAGTGTGAAGAAGTAATGTCTTATACCATTTTGAGTGACAATAAAAAAAACTTGAAGTGGTATCAAAATATGGAGATATAAATAAAGTGTCCAAGCGTGAAGTCTCTGATCTAGCTAAGATGTATGGAATTAGTAAGGATACTACCTGTAGTTTGCCAGCAGTTCTTAATGCCAAACAACATCTAGTAATGTGATGGATTGCTAAGACGCAAGGGATGTGGATGTTCTCAGTTGATACCCACTGGTTCTCAACTTGAAAAGGCTCTGATTGAAACAATAAGGGCGAAAAGAGTACTATACTTGTCAATTTTGGCATCACATGATGCCTAATACTTGCAACAATAATTTGGATTGGCAAGTTTAATTGATGTTTGATGTACTAAGTGAGATGCGAAAAAAATTCCATTGAATTAGCAAAAATGAGGAAAACTTCCTTAAAAGTCGCAGCAGTGATTTGTGGGATCACTATGGTAACAGGTTTCTAGTTTTTTCAATGTTCCATATATTATCCAAATTTTTACACACATCTCTAGTACATATAGGGCATCAACCCCTGAAGGTATAAAATTGTATGGTTTCCATTATCAAAAGTTATGAGCATTGCATGACGACGCACAGATTTTTTTGGACCAGAGGCACGCCTAACCATCGACAGCGTACAGTGACAAAACACGCCGTTGTACACTTTAGATGTACGGTGTCACTATTCTAACTGATATGAAGCAAAAACTATGATGTGGGTGTGATTTAGGTTTTAAAAATTAATCTGAGGAATACTTAAAGGATTTCATGTTCAATTTCGTGTGTATTCGATTTGGAAGACATTTACCCCGGCGAAATGATATTCTTGTGATATGAATATTCATGAATATTCAGGTGTGATGAATATTGTAATATCGATATAAATCGAAAAGAATAAAGATTTAACCATATTCTTGTATTTTTGAAGAATAATAAAGAATAATTTATGTTCCTGAATATTCTTCAATTTCTATGGTGAATAATTGAAGAAGAATAAAGAAAATTTCATGTTCTTGAAAATTCTTTATAATTTCACCACGCTGAATGAAGAAAATTTGGATAATTATGAAGAACACATCTGTTCTTAGATATTCTTCATTTTTTCACCACCTTGTTTGAAGGATATTTGAATAATAATAAAGAACATCTCTGTTCTTAGATATTCTTCTTTTTTCACTACCTTGTGTGAAAGATATTTGAATAATACTGAAGAATATTTATGTTCTTAAATATTCTTCATATTCTCACCAAAATGTTTGAAGAATATTTGAAGAATAATGAAGAACCTTTTGTATTTTTTGAAATCTTGGAAATCCTTGATATTTTCACCATGTTGTTGAAGAATACTCAAATAATAATGAAGAACTAATATGTTCTCAGATATTCTTCACCTTTGCACCACCTAATTTGAAGGATATTTGAAGAATACGAAAGAAGATTTTGTATCCTTTGATACCCTGAAAATTCTTCATATTTTCACCAATTTGTTAAAAGGATATTTGAATAATAATGAAGAACTAATATGTTCTTAGATATTCTTCAATTTTTCACCACCTCATTTAAAGGGTATTTGAAGAATAATAAAAAACATTTTGTATTCATGAAATTCTTGGAAATGCTTCATATTTTCACCACTTTGTTTAAAGGATATTTGAATAATAATGAAGAATTAATATGTTCTTAGATATTCTTCATTTTTTCACCACCTCATTTGAAGAATATTTGAAGAATAATGAATCATAACCTATCCCAGAATTCCTCAAAAAGGAAATGATTGTTTTAGGCGGGAAAAAACACATTAGTAAAACATGAAATTGAAGCTCTTGTTAAAAAGGAACATGTCCTTAAAATATGTGGACAGAGAAACAGGAACATATGCCAAAAGGTAGGTGACACATATCTTCTTGTTTAGATCAATAATTAGATAGCTATTTCCACCTAGAGAGGAGATATCTCAAGATCTGGAGTTTTCATATAGAAATCAGCCATTTTATTTTTATCTAAAGATTTATTCTTAGAAATTCTTCTTTTTCCATTCTGTTTGAAGAATATTTGAGGAATATTGGGGAAAATGTTTAATAACTTTAAGAAAAACATGAAATTGAAGCTCTTTTGTAACATGGGAACAATTTGTTAAAGGGACATTTGAATAATAATGAAGAACTAATATGTTCTAAGATATTCTTCAATTTTTCATGACCTCATTTGAAGGTTACTTGAAGAATAAAAAATAACATTTTGCATTTATGAAAATCTTGGAAATGCTTCATATTTTCACCACTTTGTTTAAAGGATATTTGAACAATAATGAAGAATTAATATGTTCTTAGATATTTTTCATTTTTTCACCACCTCATTTGAAGAATATTTGAAGAATTATGAATCATAACCTATCCCAGAATTCCTCAGAAAGGAAATTATTGCTTTAGGTGGGAAAACACAAAAGTCCATGAAAGTTTATTCATGAATATTCAAGTAATTCGATTTGAAGAATTTTCGGGAAGTGTCCAAATTGATGTTCAATTGATGTTCACGCATATTCATGAATTCTTCATGATATTTATTCTTCATTGGTGGATTATTCATGAATATTTTACATTAATATTGATGAATAATTCATGAATATTCAGGAATTATTCAATGTCATTTCGCTGGGGTAGGGACAAAGGAGCTTTGCTTGTTGATAAATCAACTATCAATAGATGGATTTGGTTCAAATTTTATATGCTAATACTTTAAGATGAGGAAATTTTCAAGAAAAATGAAGCTAAACTTTGAGAAGATTTCAAGAACATTGAGGAACAGAATATATACAGGTGATCAATATTTATTCTTCATTTAAGTAATAGTTCATGAACAAACATGTGAGTTAATTCATGAATTATTCAAAAATGTTGGAGAATATAATTTTATGAATATTTCATGAATATACAGTTGGTGAATATTTCAAAAAATATGAGGTCGTATACATGGAGATGATTTCAAGAATGTTGAAGAATATAATGTCATGAATATTTCAAGAAATATGAAGCTAAACCTGGAGAAGATTTCAAGAATATTGAGGGATAGAATATCATGAATATTTCAGGAATATGCGGGTGATGAATATTTCATGAATAGCCTATAGAGTTGATGAATATTTCATGAGTCCAAATTGTATTTCAGTCATATTCATGAATAGTTCAGGTATATTTATTTTTCATTGAGTAATATTTCATGAACATACAGGTGATAAATATTTCATGAATATGCAGTTGAGGAATATTTCAAGAAAAATGAAGCTAAACTTGGAGAAGATTTCAAGAACATTGAGGAACAGAATATATACAGGTGATGAATATTTATTCTTCATTTAAGTTATAGTTCATGAACATACATGTGAGCTAATTCATGAATTATTCAAGAATGTTGGAGAATATAATGTTATGAATATTTCATGAATATACAGTTGGTGAATATTTCAAGAAATATGAGGTTGTATACATGGAGATGATTTCAAGAATGTTGAAGAATATAATGTCATGAATATTTCAAGAAATATGAAGCTAAACCTGGAGAAAATTTCAAGAATATTGAGGGATAGAATATCATGAATATTTCAAGAATAAACGGGTGATGGATATTTCATGAATAGCCTATAGAGTTGATGAATATTTCATGAGTCCAAATTGTATTTCAGTCATATTCATGAATAGTTCAGGTATATTTATTTTTCATTGAGTAATATTTCATGAACATACAGGTGATAAATATTTCATGAATATGCAGTTGAGGAATATTTCAAGAAAAATGAAGCTAAACCTGGAGAAGATTTCAATAATATTGAGGAATAGAATATCATGAATATTTCAAGAATATAGAGGTGATGAATATTTCATGAATATACAGGTGGTGAATATTTCAAGAACTATGAGGCTTGCTTTTTTCATGAATATTTCAAGAAATATGAGGCTTATTTTTCATGAATATTTCAAGAAATATGAGGCTTACTTTTGATGAATTTTTAAGGAATGTGATATCATGAATATTTCATATATATACAGTTCATGAATATTTCATGAGTCCAAATTGTATTTCAGTCATATTCATGAATACTTCAGGTATATTTATTCTTCAATATTCTTCATTGATGAATTATTCATGAAAAAAGTTCATGAATTCCCATGAATTATACCTGAATATTCATGATTAATTCACATTCATTTCGCCGGGGCACCTTTCTAATTACGTTTTAAGATTTTCAAGCAGTGCTCGAGTTTTTTCGTAGTAAATCTACCCACCAACAATTATCGGTTGGAAAATGTTTTTTCACATTTCCTTTGGTCATCTTTTCCCCTGTCGCCTAAGAGTGTCGATTATTTTTATGAGAATATGTTTCCCTAAGTTACATAATTAAGGTCGGTTGAAGATTTTAATATATATTCACGTTTTTGCTAAAATAAAAAAATCTCGATGTACGTTGTCCCATTGAACTTACATATCTGAATTCACAGTTTACCCTAATGTAGACAACGTATTATTCATAACACTAAGGGGCAGGGGGATCAGATTCATTTAAAACTGAAACGGATCAATCAAAGTATTACTAATTAAAATTCATAAAAGTGTATCTTATTACGTGAAAGTACAGACGAAAACATCAAAATTTATTTTATATTTTTATACTCTCTATTCGCGAGGATACACACTACGTGAGTATACACACTACGAATTTAATCACACTTTTTTCAAAGAGTACGACATAATCGGTTGACTGACGTATATTTTCAACATCAAGATAAGTGCTTTTGAATTTACGTAGCTTGGAATTATTCTGAATATTTTATTTTGGCATAATGTCGAAAGTGTTCTTGAATACAATTATACCAATGAGTGCAAATATACTTACAATGTAGTTTGAACATTATTTGGAACAGAGGCAAAATCAGGGGGTACAGCAGAGCTTATAGGAAATATAAGTCAGTTTAGTAAAAAACAAACAACAACAAAAAAAACCACAAAAACAGCATAACTGTATGTGATTGAAATGTTACCATATGGGTCAGATATACTGAGCAATCATATTGAGAGCAGTTTTGTTCTTCGAAGAAACCAAAAGAGCATACACGAGAGAAAGCATGGTGAGGGCAATGGGTGATAAAGAGACAGCAAAATATCAATTGAGTTAGTATGTTTCCAAAAATAGTTTTTTTAGTTCTCTTTTAAATGAATAGAGGCTTTTTATTTGTTTAAGTCTTTCTGGTAATTTGTTCCAAAGCTGGGGTACTGAAATGGATATAGATGATTTACCATAATTTGTGCGAAATTTAGGTTGATCATAGGTCATTCTATTTCTGGTGTTATAAGGATTTCTTTCATGAACTGTTGTAAAGAGACGAGGGTATATACTCCTATAGTTATCTAAGTCATTTTTCCATTTGAACATAAATATACATTTCGCTTGCTTATTAATGTCAAAAATAGTAATAAGTTTTAACATTTCAAAAAGTGGAGAAGAATGTGCTCTATAGTCACTATTTGTTGCAAGACGTACAAACCTTTTCTGGGACAAGTGAAGTGGATTTATTGATGTAGGATTTGCATCCCCCCAAACAAGATTACCATATATTAGATATGAATAGATCAAGGAGTAGTAAATACTTGTAAACCCTTGAATGTTTAAGATATGCTTAATCTTGTACAAAATACCTATGGTCCTTGAAATTTTCATATTAACTGAAGATATGTGATCTTTCCATGTCAAATGTTGGTCAATTATAATGCCTAAAAAACTGATCGTTGAAACTTGTTCGAGTTTATTGTCATTGAGATATATTTTGAAGTTACTTGGATCATAGTGCTTCTGTCTTGACGTAAAAATGATGTATTTGGTTTTAGAAATGTTTATAGAAAGTCTATTAGTCACCAGCCATTCTTCAATATGTTTTAGCTCGGTGTTCAATATATCATTGAGTTCATTTAGATTTTTGCCATTTATCAATATATTAGTGTCATCTGCAAAAAGAACAAAAAATAACCTTGGAGATGATAAGTATATGTCATTAATATAAACAATAAAGAAAAGGGGACCTAGTATGGAGCCTTGAGGGATTCCACAGTTAATGGTATTTGGCTCAGAAATAACATCTTTGTATGAAGTTCTTTGAATTCTATTTTTGAAATAACTTTTTACCAAATCAAGTGATACGCCACGTATACCATAAAAATATAATTTTTGAAAAAGAATTTCATGGTCGATAGTGTCAAATGCCTTGGAAAAATCTAAAAATAGGCCAATTGAGTATTCTCCGAGATCAATAGATTTTCTTATTTTTTCAACAAAATTTAGAACAGCCATAAAAGTTGACTTCTTTTCTCTAAATCCAAATTGATTAGAATATAAAATTTCCATTTTGTCAATAAAAGTAGAAAATCTCCTATGCATTAATTTTTCAAGTAGTTTAGAGAATACAGGAAGGACAGAAATGGGGCGATAATTTGTAAATAATTTGTCATTATCTTTTTTATAAATTGGAATGACTTTGGCGGCTTTTAAATGATCTGGAAATATACCATTGCTAAACGATAGATTAAATATATGCAAAAGGGGCTGTAAGAGTGTGTTACCACACTCCTTTATGACAAACGGCTTAAAGTCATCAAGACCAGCAGCTGAATTTTTCAGATTATTTATTTCAGTTTGGATTTCATCATGAGATATTGGATTAAGAAATAGAGTAGATTCTGTTTGACCTAAGTTCTGCATGAAATCAAGTGGGTTCTTTTTTGATTTGGGGATTTTTGAAGCAAGATTCTCACCTACAGTTGAAAAAAAGTTGTTAAATTGATTTGCAATTTGCTGTTTGTCTGTAATTTCAATGTTATTGTGAAGAAAAGATTCAGAAATATTGGTTGATTTATTTTTCCTTTGAAGTAATTCATTTAAAATTTGCCAGTTAGCTTTAATATTACCTTGGTTTTTTTTAAATCTATTGTTGTAGTACATTTTCTGAGAGTTTTTAATTATTCTCTTTAAGGTTTTTGCATAAGTTTTGTAATTGATTTTATTTGGTTGGGAAGGATTTCTAAGGACCTTTTTATATAATTTGCTTTTGTTCCTGACGGAAGTAAGAATGGCAGAAGTGACCCACGGTTTATTATTATTATTATAGATCCTTTTTATAGTAGTTTTAAGAGGAAAGCATCTATCATAGTGTTTAGTTAAGATATCTTCAAATATATTATATGACGCATTAGAATCATTATTACTTATAACCTCATTCCAATTTTCACTTGAAAGTAATTCTTTAAATAGTTGAATATTTGGGTCAGTATATTTTCGCTGTTTGACTTTGATGTTTTTTATTCTATTAACATGTTTTTTACAAGAGGCATAAACAGGAAAATGGTCTGAAATATCGTTAAAAATTATACCACATGAGTCTGCCTTAGAGTCATTTGTAAATATGTTATCAATAAGAGTGGCAGAAGTTGATGTGACTCTTGTTGCTTTGTAGATCAGGGGAACTAGGTTAAATGAAGTCATTATATTATAAAAATTCTGTGTAGGAATATGCTGAGCTACTTTAAATAAGTCAATATTAAAGTCACCAGTGACATAGCAAATTTTATTCTCCAATGAAAGTTGAGATAGATAAGTGTTGAGATCATTATTGAAATCTTCAACATCAACATTAGGCGGCTTATATAAACAAGTGAATAATACATTTTTGCTATTTTCCATAACAATCTCAATAGTTATCACATCACAGTCATTATTGTTAAATTTGAGATCAGGTCTTTCAATAATAGTCATGGAATTATGAACATAAATGCCTACCCCACCTCCTCTCGTGTTGCGTGATTTAAAGTGACCATTGTAATTCAAGAATTTGGAAAAATATGATTCCTGGTCCTTATAGAGCCATGTTTCTGAAAGTGCTATTACTGAAATGGTCTTGTCAATAGCAGAAATCATGTTTGTTAATTTCCATTGGTTTGCTGATAAACTGCGTATATTGCTATGTATAAGAGACATGTCTAATAAATTCTTGGCATTCATTGAGTTATTCAGTTCAGTCAGGGTAAGATAATCACATTTTGACATATAATCATAAGAAATATCATCATAACCTGGTGTATCCTCATCATCGCCTCTAATCTCAATTGGATTGAAAAGTTTGTTTTCAAATGTAATTATCATATTACCATTAGGAACCAACTCGATAAAATCATTATGGTCTCTGACACTATAAAAGGGTAACTCAGTCCAAGGATGTGACAAAGAAACTGTATCATCCTCTATCAAATGTAAAGTTATGTGAAAACACAGACAAGTCCCCACTGAAAACAATTATGGTAATGACAAGGTAAATCATTTGTCAAATCAAAGAAAGATGGCAGATAAAGCAGGTAGTCACTGCTCTCACTGCTAAAAATGAATAATTTGAGTATCAAAAATATGCGTGTGGCACAAGAACCCAAATATATATATAATACCATTGCATTATAGAATAAATTGGGTTTAGTAAAGTGTAAAGTCATTGAGTCATGTTAATTAGTATACACAAACTCTTCATGTTGACATCGAGTAAATCACTTTCATTTAACAACATACTTATCAATACTTTCTGAATGATTATATGTCCAATAACTGGAAATAAGTCCACTCAAAACTATTGTTAAAACTATTTACTAACATTTAAATATGTGAAATCAAAGTCAGATTAATTCTCAAATTTCATGCAATCAAGTTGATAATAGCATGATCAGCCAGCGAAGCCAACTCAGTATAAAGATAAAACTCAGTAATCGTAATCAATGCATCATGGTATTCACTCAAAGTTTGCCAATATAGAAAGTATACACTCCAAACATGAAATGATCTCAATGCAAAAACTGTCAAAATATGTCAAAAATAGGTCTACTTTGCAAAATAGAATAGATCAGGTCAAATGTAGAAAAGCAGGTAGTCACTGCTCTCACTGCTCCTAAAAATAATATGAAGAGTATCAAAATATTTGCAAATGACTAAGAACCCAGAAAATCATAATACCATTGTGTTATCTACTTTAATGCGTTTTGAGAAAAAGGGAAATGTAAGGTCAGTACATACACAAACTCTGCATGATTGTATCAACTAGTTGTTTCATTTTCGGGTCATCAATCGCTATATGGAGCCATGGGTTAACCACCTCTTGAAGCTCGAGTATGTCATCCAAAGTGTCAAGGTTTTCGTTTGTGAATCGCGTCACTACAAGAAAGAAAATGAAACATATAATGCTTCAAAATATATACATATTACTAACCCTTTGGAAAAGGATCTTGCCCGGATAATATGTGAACAAATGGTGAATGGTGGCCAAATTGCATGAAAACATTAAACATTCTCAAGACTATATTGCAATCCCCTTGGGGTTGGGAGTAATACCTCTCAATTTGAAATTTCTCACATTTGCAAAATATGTATAGTTTATATAATTATTATACATACAATACATTAGCTTACTTCTTTTTTCCCATTTTTCTATTTCTTTTATGATTGGATCCTGCTCTGTTTTTGTTGGTTTTGTCTTCATTGTTATCTCTTTTAATAATTCGACGAGTTTTTCTGTAGCTTCCTCGTCACATTTCAAGAACTCATTATGGCCACATCTGTTCCTGATGATACGAACCTTACTAGCTTTATCATTGATCGGTAGATTTGGCACCTCCGTTAGAAGGTCTAAATAAACCTTGGGATCAGTTATGTCATCAAATGACACAAATTGCTTTTTATCTATGTCCGTAAGGTTCACAAAAAGCTTTGCAAATGTGAAGGCATCAAACTGAAAACCTGATTCCTTTATCATTTCCCCTAAATTTACTCTGCCGATTTTCATCTTGTTTTTGTCATACCCTTCCTTCGTCAATATTTCTACAATATCCTCTCCTGACCGTTGTTCCAATGGTGGGTGATAGGCCTTTAATTTTTCGCTTAACTGAAGTATAGTGTATTCTCTCAAAACGGCAATCACAGGAGCACTAGTTACTAAACTAAATGACACTAAAAGTCTGCTTCTACATTCTGAAAGTGACAATAAGATGATTTAGAAAATGCTAACAATGTATTTTTAGCATTTTAATTGCTCCAATAGAAATGTTTTCAACAGGTACTTGGAAATTTCAACAATGCCACTCGCTACGCTCGTATTTATCTTAACGCCCTACCCATCCCTCCTCTCGCTGTTCACATTACTCGTCCCATACATGGTCTACATCTTTCAGTGTTGCTCAAATGGCACATACAGTATGTAATAATTATTACCTTCTTCATGATCGACACTTGAAGCCATCTTGGATTAGATTCCGGGATTAGATGATCTCTCGGCTGCCAACAGTTATCTATATGTAGCTAGAATAAAATGGAATGTTATGTCTTACTGAATTTTTTTTGTTATACCGTACTACCTCTCTTAAGGCCAACTAACATATTTACAAGCGAATCCACCAAGCCCAGCCAGGCGCATGGGGTAAATTTGGCGAATTCTGGGAGAAACCGTTTATATTAAAATGTATTGCATAATTAGAAACATAACGAATGGTAATGTAAGTTGGTAAGTTTAAAATTTTGAACACTGACACTGGTGTGCAAGGCATTCACTCATTATTTTCCCTTACTTTCCTACAATTTCCCTGCTAATCACCCTAATTTCTTGATTTTGAGATAATGTGTTTGAGAAACAATAAAAGGTCAGTGAGGCAAATTAGAGTGGTGTCAAATTACTACAGAAGTTGATTTTGTGAATGCAGACATGATTTCAAAATCGCCAAAAAGTGGAGTGACATTCTCACTGATTCTTCATTTCCTCCAAGCTTAGATTAAAAACTGAAATTAAATCTAACGGTAATAATAATCGCCGAAATTTTAATCTCGGTTCCGGGATCTCGGTCGTATAATGCTTACCTTCTTTCAAGCTCGTCTCTGTGCTCGGTGAAAGTAGGGGAACTGAGTGATTTGGATTTTTTCTAAAATATTTTTATGAATAAATCACCGATTTTGATTCGTTAAAACCCCTAGTCATGACTGGAATTCACAGCCGTCAAAACACATGATAACAGTTTATTTCGTTTAGAGTTTCGGACTTAAGAAGTATTCAATATGAGAGTAGTGGACGTAATATACACAAACAAAAAGCTTGATTGATGAAAAAATAAATATTTCTGAATTTGTTTAACATTGCATTCAATAACTTCACAATTATGCTGTCCTTTTTGTAATAAAACGTGAATACAGTAGAGTTCTATACTATAACACTAGTACTTAAAGCTTTTTTATTGCGACATAGGAGGCCTTAAACAAACATGACAAATACACATAAATCTGGTTCATAGTAAAAAATACATACAGTGCACGCAGTTACTTGCACTCGTCAGTGGGTTCTATAGGGGTATTGTATATCTATGGAATTTTATCCCCTATTATATACAGTGATTAGGAATGCATTCTATTTTCTCTTGAAAAAATTAGAGAGAATGAGAAGCATCACATTTTTCTAATATCTTATCAATTTCCACCTTATTCACTTCTTGCAAGACGATGACATTGAAGAAACTAGAAAAATATTAATTCGCTAGCTCATTTTATCCCATTCTATTTCGATTCAGATAATAGAGAACGTCTCCGGACGGTAGTCTGTACGTTAACATCTTACATCTGTCCTCGGGGAAGAAATAGTCACAGTTTGTCAGAGTTAGTTTTTACTCCTTTTAATTCTCCACGTTTTGATGTAGAAGAGTATGGGATTAAGAGGATGTATTGTAGATTGGCTTCTTATAGTAATTTGACGAACTTGTTCAATTTCAAATATTGGCAGCTATTTAATTTGGCGGATTGGGGACTGAGACAGAATTTTCAAGATGGCAGCTGAATTTCAAATTAACGCAATTTTTCGTAAAAAATGTAATTTTATATGTTGATCCCAAGGGACAAAGCTATGCTAAAGAAGACATTAGATTATCACTGAATTTCAAAATGGCTGATATTTTTCGTAAAAACGTAACATTTGATAACTCAAATACCACTGGACGGATATGATTCGAATTCTATATGTAGATGCCTGGGGACAATCAAGCTCTGCCCAGGAATTTTCGAGATGGCAATTGAATTTCAAAATGGCTGCCATTTTCTTTGGTAACTCAAATATCAGTGGACGGATTTGGTTCAAAATATGTTGATGCCAGGGGACAAAGGAACTCTGTTCATGAGGAAATTTTCAAGATGACAGCTAAATAAAATACCAGTGAATGGATTTGGTTCAAATATTTGCTGATGCTCAGAGATAAAGGATCTCTGCTCAATGAAATATTTTCAAGATGGCCACTATTTATCAAAATGGTAACCATTTGTCATTAAAATGTAATCTTTGATAACTCAAATACCAGTTGACAGATTTGGTTCGAATTTTATACACTACTACCTAAGGACAAAGAAGCTCTGTTCAACACGAAATTTTCAAGATGGCTACTAATTATCAAAATCTGTCTGTTCGGTGGAATTAGATACTCCATGGAGTTACTGTTTTCTGGTTAAATCTGTATTCATCCAAGCTTCACTTCACTATAACCACCAAGAATAAACTTATAAGAGAAGAATGTTATTGTACACAGCAATGCTTTATTTGTCAATAAACTTTCTATCTAGCTATCAATCCAAAATATAATGTATATATTTGCATTGTGTAAAATAAAACAATATGCTTTTATGAGTACAATATACAGCAATTAATATTAAACTGCAAATTAACCTTTTGTGGATTTTAGTACTATAGCAACATCAGGTTTCTTGGCAACAATTAGAACTATAACCGCCAGAAAAAAGGTTCTGTGATAATTTGTTCTACTCCAGAGAGCGTTTGATGTTGCTATAGCCACACATGCCATGTACAATATTTTCAATACAACATTGTTTAGCTAAATATGTAAAACTGTCTCGTGTATAATCACATAATGTGGATCAGATCATTGAAAAATTAAACTGCAGTTGCCATAGCAATGCTCATGATCTGTTGCTACGGTAACAAATGAACACCAATAAGTAGCAGTAATGGTAGAATGAAGGTGGATTTCTGCATATATTGGTCAAGAGTTTAATAGCACAAAATAGAACAATTAAATAAAATTAATTGTTATTTCAACAAAACAATTAATTCTTACATCATTTTTGTAGGCTTTTGTGCTATAAGCTCTTTTTCTATAAAATTGAAGCACAATTTTACATTTGACATAAGCATCACATTAGATGGTGCAGAATCTAAGCCAATAATATACCATTACAATACTTTATTCACAATATCATAAAATAAATCCTTCACATGGAAGCAGTTTTCGAAAAAGTATATAGATTTGAAAAATTAACCAATTGCCTTTTGGTAAATTCCCTGCGTTGGCATAAAAATTGTGTCAAAACAGCTCAAATACAATCACTCATGAGAATCAAAGTACATTGTGAATATTAGAAAAAATAACATTGCAAAATATTATTAAATATATAATTGTATATGAAAAGTGTAATTAATATTAAAGTTTCCTTCGAAAATAATAAAGGACTAATAATATGAAATAAAACTAATGTTGTTCACCTAACACAGTCAATTCTTACTGACACACAACTCATGTGATTGGTTAGTAGTTGCTATGGTAACTATAACTACATCATAACTCTTAACTATACTGGAATAATACATGGTCATAGAACATATTACTAAACACTGAAAAAATCAAAACATTTTTTTGAGAATGTTATACATACATGCTTATAATATGTTTCAGCACCGATTATGTCTTTTGATAAAGTTGCTCACTTTGTGATGAGCTCTATATAGATGTCGCTACTATACGCTGCATGTATAGTAGCCATTGCCGCAAAAACACGGCAATAACCTCCCACACCCACACCCCTGACTTTAACAAAAATTAATACCCTATCTACAATAAAATCTCTTTCCAAAAACATATTTTTTATCTTTTTATGGTTTGAAAAAGCAAAAGGTAAACTTGGCAATTATTTATGTTGACATAAATGCGTCTTATTGCTCCCATTAGGAGCATTGAAAAAATAATTCTGTAAATACGTTTTTCTCAAAAGCATTTCTGATTAACATTACACTAGAAATGTTGAGCCAATGGAATATAATCCTTATAGTTTGCATCCTAAACATTAACCACACATATTTGTATCACACATAGTTCCAATGGAACCATACATGGAAATTTCACATAATTAAACTGTGTATACATGTATTCCTATTTAACACCAAGAAGTGTCATAAATTGTAAACGTATAGAACACAAAATGCTAACACAGTCTATTTTATCAATGGTTTTTGGCATATACACAATTTAACCATGCATTATATGTAGACAACTTAGATTCGTTGTTGTCAAGCCAGATTGTCGAGTAAAATATGGCATACAGATATTGCTTCCTTACTTGGTGTGATTTATGCCACATTTAATTTTGGAAATGAGAAAGGTGCATATGCAACCAACCGCAAATTACTTGCTTGATTGTATAATTCTTCGCCATATGTAATACATGTACTGTGAACATTGTGCCTATTGTCTTAACATTCACAATTATGGAATATCAATGTTCTTTGTGGCATAAATGACCTCCAAGCCTCAATCTGGCTCTATACCAATACTGTATACATGTATATATATATAAGAACCGGGTGTATACCGTGTATATAGTACAATGCACATAAACTAAATAAACTGCAAACTAAAAGATAAAGTATGGTCAGGTATAGTTGAATATACAAATTTGTAAATGTATAGCTAACATGTACAATGGTATTACATATACATTTAAAATGAAAACTGTGAGAACGCAATATGTAAGTCTAAAACTTTTAAAGACACGCTTGTAAACTGTAAACAATCATTAAATACCATTGATTATTGCTAATATGGGAATAAGGTATATATGACCTAAATAAAATTTTCCAAATTTCAAGTAGAGTGAGCAATCATTTTTGTTTTTTTATGTTTTAGACCATCGGAAGTCAATGCTTAAATTGCTTCAACAGCAGATCTTTGTCATTTCGGAAAACATTCCCCATGTTTTGTCTGAATGATGACACAATTCGCATATTGACTTCCTTGGCATTTATATTACATTATAAGGTAGCACTGTATAGTAAACATCATCCATCCAGAATATCAGGAAAGTTAACATTAGAGAAGCTTCTTTTAAGAAACTAGCTAGAGGTAAATGGAATAAGATTAAAGTATAAACTGATATAAAATATAACCCTGCTTGTCTGTTTTTTCCAGATTTTCCTCTTATGCATTTTGATAAGCATGTAAGGTAAAATAATGAGTGTCATTTTGGGGATCTAAATGTTTGTGACATCTATGAATGTAAAACTGTCATAGATGAAAAGGGTTCAAAACATCGATTTTTGACTTCATAGCAAGTAAATTTACAGTGGACGCAACTGTGGAATGCAGAATAAAAAATTAATGCATCAATGTATACATAAATATAACAATCTACTGCTCCAGTATTTTTCTTTTCTCTGCTTGGTATTACTTATCGTTATATCTTACGTGAAAAGGATTTCTGTGTTAATTTGTTGCCGTATTGTGCTAACACAAACAAAATAATTTTTCCAAATTAAATTTCACTTATTTGAAGTTGTGGAAGTGAAACCAATAATTGAGACAATTTCAACTGACAATGTAAAAAACATGTAAATAAATATAGGTCAGCTTACGTGGTTAGTATGTATTACAACGATTTTGCACTTGAACTGACATATACAACTACAAAAATAGTACATTTGCAAAAAATACTCCATTGGCACCAAAAATGGTTTGAGCATCTAAGATTTTCTTTAAAATAAGCATATAAGCCTGAGACTTGGAAATATACACTTAGACAATTTATTTTGAATCTTTGCACAGAATGGGAATCAGTCTGTTTTATTTAACAGAAATACTTTGTGTTACAAATACAATTTACTAGTGAACAATTACTGATTAGAAAAAATTAGGTGAGTAGGGTACTTCTTAGTATACTTCCAAGTCCCAAAATTGTAGCAATGTTAACATAAGGAGGATGTTTACTATACAGTGGATGCTATGTATCATAGTCTAAGGCACGAATACACAATATGTTGTTACAATCACTGACTAGTACACTTAGACTTGCATATTTTTTACACCTATCTCAGCAAAATCGTCATTTTTTCAATATATCACATTCATAATACATTCTAAACCCTGAAATATTGTGAATGTGTAGAACTTCATATATCTCAGATGTACATTTGAAAATTGTAAACCTGTTTATTTTTAGAGATTAATTGTCACCAGTTATCAGTAACAACCACATAAATTACATGAACCAATTAATCAGTAGCAGGAGTTGAACATGATCCAAATGGCTAAGAATGGCATTAAAAAAAACATAAACATGCAAGTATGTAACAAATTTGCTAAGATAGGCGTTATAAGAATAAGTAGTGTCACCAAATATGTAGCTGTATAAACCCGACACCATATATTATCAGCAGTAAAAATAATGAAAGTGGTGTATTTCCACTGTGTACTCTTCAAACCACCCTTCCCTCTTTGTTAAGATAAATGCTTATTGTTTGTGCTAGAGCTCAATTTTACTCCCACTCTTCAATGTCACAGATTTTTATGCTTTTTGACCACATGTGAAAAATGCCCTAGCACAAACACTAAGTTTATATCATATTTGCTTTAAGAAAGTATTCCATACCTGAATGACACGCCATTCTAGAGCACCTATCCCTAGAAAGGACTACCAATAATTGCTAGTTTAACACTTGCTTCAGAGATATTTGCATAACCAACACCTTAAAGCAGGTAACTTTTACACTCATGTCGAATATATGTATATACTGTATATTGGTTGGTAGATACATTACTGATATGCAGTATCTTTATTGTAGAAATGTTTGTAAATGAAAATATCTCCAAAACAAGGTCATGGTTTCAAATATCTCATGAAGTCTCGCAAAATCACAAGATTTTGGATATAAATTGAAAAAATCATTTCTGATTTGAGAGTACATGTATACATGTTTTTAGATTTTTTAAGTATGTTACAATACAAACAAGCCAGAGTTGATCCAGTAGATGCTTGTGCTGACCATACATAACATATTAATGCTGCACAATTACAGAAATGTAATACAGAAAACCAGCAGTTTGCCAAATGGCACATTTCCACATTCTGTAATCCAATCGCCCCAATTTTTTAATAACTATGCTAAATATCAAATAAACTGGATTTTTTTGGTAGGGATGAGTGGATTACAAATTTGGTAAAATTCAAAGTGCTGGATTGAACGTGTAAAGCCTTTTTACATTTAGAACCATTATACCACTTCTATATATGTTGTACAACATTCTGTTGCCTTATATAAGAGTCAAATACATCTATATAATTTGTCTCAATATACAGTAGTACTATTCCAGCACTCATTTCTTCTCATTTTTATATCTGTCATACTTTCTCTATGTCGTATGATTCGCAGGCAGTGTGAAGTCACATTTATTATTGTGATGTCACAGTGGCTGGAGAATTAGGCAATATAGAGTGTATTCAACACCAACACATGATGGTTGTTCTTCGCCAAGGTAACAATGTATCCCTCAGATGTAATTTTCAATCCGCAACATCGACTTACTTTCACATATGGGCATTCAAATTCTCCTATCAACGAACCATCACGTTGGAACACAGCCACATGGAAACGGTTACCATGGCTGTCACCTATCAGCACATCCCCAGCATCGCTGATATCAATTCCATTCGGGAAGTTGGTGATGTTCTCGCAGCCTATACGGCGCATAAACTTACCATCTTCATTAAACACCACAACACAGTGACCCTGGAAGATTAAAAAATAATGTGTTAAAATTATTGTGATACAGAGATTTGTAACACACTTATTACATGTTAAAAAAATACCTGATGTTTATAGCTTATAAAATTTGAGGACATCATCATTTGTCGAGCATCTGTTATTGTTTGGAAGTGGGTTAATCCTTATTTTTTGAAGTCTTATGGCGAAAACATGTCTACTATGGTTGCACAATCTTAAATCTTTATAACATTACCATTTTTTAAATATAAAGTAACACTACCTTAAAGTCACAGACAAAATATTCTTTCCCACTGATAGCTATGTCAGAGGGTTCTCTCATGCAATCGCTGCAGTCGAACCATTTTAGTAGGTCACCACTCTCAGCAATACAGAATACAGTGGGAGATACACTATCCACTGCAACAATGTGACCTATAAAAAATATAAATAAACATTAGTCAAAAAATGGTTTTGTTTTACAATATAACTCTACTAGAACTTACTAGTCTTATGGTTATTACTAGGTTGATAATTATTAAATTGATAATTATCTTAGCGATACACTGATACACCCCTACAATTGTCCAAATGTTGAAAATAAAGTTGGTCACATTTGATACCAATTTAGACTTCTTCATTTCTCTGCCTTATGGCACATTTTTGGGGATGTTTTTTTGTTGATAAGATTATAATATTTTTCATCAGTTGTTGGATTTTTTTCCTTTATTGCCAGATTTTCAAACTTTGAACTGATCTAACTCACCTTGACTGGTGATGGCCAGGCCTGCCACTATGTCAATGTATCGAATAGCAATCTTCTTAATAAAGTGCCCATTCTTAGAAAAGATCTGCATACGGGATCGCTCATTGCCACGGTCACATACCACATATTTTCCAGTCTGCCGCATCACTGCCACCTTGCGGGGATACCACAGCTGTCCTTCTTCTTTGCCTGACAAATAAACATTTTTTAATAAAAATTTTACAGTACGAGGATATTTAATGAAACCTGATTAAAAGAAAGGAAGATTGAAGTTTGAGAAAAAGAGGCTAGTTTTTCAATAGAGCTAGTAAAATTATAAAAACAAAGGTTCAAAGAACAATTGGAAACAGGGCATAAGATAACCATCTCTAGATTCTCATATGAAGAATCAACAAAATCCAGATCTTAGACATCATAAATACTAATGAAGAATGAACATAGCAGCTATTACATTAACCCTGTCCCATTATCATACCTGGTATTCCAAACTGGTATTTAAACTCTCCCGTTTTCTCAAACACTTGAATACGATGATTGTTTGTATCGGCAACTACAATATCTTCATCCAATCCAAGGCAGAAACCATGTGGTGAATTGAACTGTGTCTTTCCTGGTCCCAGTTGACCAAATTTGCAACGAATCTGCATGGCAGACATCTTACCAGATCCACGCACTGGAAACGGAGGGTGTGGGTTAGGGTCGTATTGTGGATTTGCACCCATACCAAGGCCTATAACGGGCGTACCAAGATTGCTTGGTTGCTGGCCAGGTTGGGATGATGGGAGGAAGTTGCTAGGACTCGCTCTCCACTCATTTGTACCAGGAGGACCTAACGGACTGGGCATAGACACTGCAATACATTTATATACAAAACACTTATATAGCTAGTAAAACAAAAGAACGGAAACATTAAACAAGAGGAGAAATCAGTGAACCCTATCAGTACTTTTGTAAACTGTTCAAGAGACATGATCCATTTATACTAAGATTTTGTAATTGTGAACACAAATCAATGATAATGTTTCAAGACAACATTTTGCTGAAGAGGTTATATTTTGATAGGGTTTACTAAATTACTCTTAAATACAACTTGTACTTAAAATTACTTAATATGAAACTACTCTTAAGTAAATTAAATTTCTTATTAATTTACATAACATATAAGCTCATGAAACTCTGACTGGGTGGATATTAGGAGAATGAACTTTGGTTGTGCTTTTTTAAGATAATTCAAAATTTTACACTGCAAAGTGAAATGTTGAGCTTTATTTGAATCACTGATACATGATTATCCGAGGTGCTATCCTATCTTGTGAAGGTGCGTGGAAATCAAACCAGCAAAGGGAAATTTTATGGTTATGAAAAACGAACCTCCCCTGAAACTCTACTTGGGTACTCAATCATAACAAAATATTTCTTATGATGTTAGACATTGAAAACTGCACAATTTACACTTAAACCATTTATTTGAGAAATTATAGAAATGCTTACAATCCAGGCTTGAAAGGTCAATATCAGAAAGACCCAATTTCTCCAAAGCTGCTTTAGAAAATAGTTAAGAAATGTTATTCATGGAGAGAAAATACAGCAAAGCAATGATCTCCTCATAGTTGCAAATATTACAAAACATTGAAGGTTCTTGAATTTCAATAAATGTAAGTCTCATGATGAAATTGATATTTGCAAAATACAAGTTTAAAGTTTGACAGTTTCTTGATCATTTGAACAAATCTTAATTGAGAATTTCAATTCAGCTTGAACTACAAAAACAGCAACTTCCATAATGTGGATACCACATAGGTTAGAAACTTCATCAACTTCATTTAGAGGGATCATTACAAAATGTTATAAAACGGTGATCAGAAGTCTCAATTAAAGTTAGTCAAAAGTTATTACTACGCAAGCACAGAACCTTAATCTAAAAGATAACAGATCTACAAAACATAAGACAAATAACAATTTCAGTAAACCATGCCTCCATCTATTAAGATGTCACCTATCATGTATCACTTTTGTTAGTTCATTGAATATACTTTCTCTGATATGAAATAAGAATATGCAAAATATCCCTTGATACATTTACTTCCAGTTGTACTAATGAACCAATATACTTGTATTCGGGAATGAAAGTAACAGCTACCAGATTAACCTACTATTTTATGACTAACTCATTTAAATATTGATAATACCTGCCACTATTCCATTCATATTCAAATGAGATGGCAATTAATAGGTTAATCCGGTAGCTGTCAGCTGTTAGTTGCATTCGCGAATACAAGCTAAGTTTAAACCCAAGGGTTATAACTTCCAAGAAGCACTTTAGCAATTTCATTATTGTAAGGAACAGTATGGATAGAAATACAATACTGATAATGATATATGATATGTTTAACTCTATTTTTTACAAAATTTCAAAAATCGGCATGATTTACTGGATATGTTATAACTAATTGCCAAGGCAAAGGATGACATCTTAACAAAAACTCGTTTGGCAACTGAATCCTATTTTCTAAACTACTGCTTAACTAACCATCACCGAAATATCTAGTCCTGTCCTCTCTCGTCTAATAGGTTATCACACAATCACACAAAGATTTGCACAAAACGTGTGTGTGAAAAATACATACGTGCCACAAAACAGACAAGTGCTTAGCTACTAATTACAAAGAAAATGAAAGAGAAATAAGAAAGAACTAAATCTAGGTAAAAACTTGGGAGAAGTTTCTTAATGTATGTACATGTACATTTAGGGTTGTAATCTAGGAAGAACCCAGCAGCTATTAAATAAGGGGAGTCTATAGGAAAATCACATTGAGAAGGTGGTGTGTCAAAATTGAGTGATGAAGGACCATTAAGACAGCTTGGTATATTTTCAGATCATCTGTATTATTGGTGAGTGCCCCTCCATTGTACAGGCCAAAATGAGGCTGAGTTACGAACAATGTCCAGATCTTGACAGTTGTGGAAAAGTCAAGTTTACTTCATTGGCAAAAATATATAGAAAACAAATTCTAATGGTCCTTCATTTCTATAATGCAATATCAGGCTTCACACAAACACATCTAATAATCTCAGTAAAGTTGCTTACTGTCTTGGTCCAGTCCTGGTTTAATATAAACATAGAGACAGAATTTAATTGGACGCTAAAACAATTCTACACCAGGCCCGTAGCCAATGGGGATTCAGGCAAACCCTGGCCAAAAATCTTTCAAATCATGCGGTTTTTCACCATTCTGAGCAATTTTCAAGTGATTTTGACCATTTTTGGGCCAAAGTTGTCATGAGTGAACCCTCTGGAACTTTTAGAAAAGCAAACCCCCCTTGGCAAATCCTGGCTACAGGCCTGTATGCAAAACACATAATACTTTATAGTATACATCATAGATAGTTACCAGACCTCAACATACTGTCAGCATTTTAGATCGTACAGAAGAATTTGCAAATACATATAACTAACTCAGTGTAGTTAACTCACTGTTTTAAAAGGTCTGATTACTAACTGTGTAATAATAAGATTTTAAAATATTCAGTTTCAGAAATGATCAATCCACAACTCACTGAATAAAGTAATTAATCCCAATACCATGCAATTATACTGAGGGTGGGCAGGTGTTATTTTGTCAAAGACAAGCAAATCTTACTATTTTTTGAGTTTATAATAATTGATATACAAGAAAAGCTTTGGGAATCTATCAACATAAAGACATGCCTTATAAAACAGCAATATTTTATGAAGTAGAAGGAGGGCATTTGTTTTTAATAAAGCAAAGGGTTAACACCTACCTGGGGTATGGGGACCTGCCATCATGTTAGCCAGTCCATTCAAGGCATGAGGGGTCCCAGGCTGGTGCAAAAGACCTGCTATGTTTGAGTCGAGGGGTGCGGGGGTCTGAGAGCGCGAAGAGTTGTTACTTCCCATGCTACCACCCATTGAATTTCCCATGATGGGCATGTGGCCACTCATACCATCACCAATGTTGGCAGCCATTTGATTGCTCATTCCCACCATGTTGCCACCAATAGGGTTACCAATATTACTGCCTCCTAGTAGACTTCCAAGTGCTGTAAAATTACAGAAAAAATTGTTTATGATGTAAATCTTATATCACATAATTCTGAGTGATATCTTATATCACATGATATCTCACATTTATCTCAAGATTGTTTCCGAAATCTAATGTTGACCTCACCATGATATAGTACATTTGTTGTATCATTGCTAGAATCTATGTTATTTGGCAGATGGTAAAATATTTATAACAATAAATTCCATCGAAAAGAGTGAAATTCTGAAGGATGTCCACTCAAAACACAATAAAATCTACAGAAGTCTTGGAATATTTTTAAGAGCTATCTAGCCGGAAAAATCTTGATATAGATGAAAAACAATGCCCAATCAATATCTGTAGCAGGAAAACTGTATTTCCCTCCAAAGAATGAAATATTTGCTTTATATAATTCCAAGAAATTAGTAAAATATTCAATGAATGAGTAATATTGAATAAATGAACGTACATGTATTACTGAATTATAAACAATGTGTAATGTTAAATAAAAGTGGTACTATATAAACTCAAATTTATGATTGGATGAATAAGTGAAATATCAAACAAGTCATTGATATGAAAATACTTGTAACTGTTATAACAAATGGTTCCAAAAAACATGCAAGTCACAAAAAGTCAACACTTGTTCATGATGGACCAAAAATGAGTGACTTACGGACATCGCTATGAAGTGATCTTGGGGTGGTTGGTGGAACTGAGCCATGCATAGGACTGGGTAGGCCGCTTACTGTGTTGATGTTCAATCCAGGTATTACTTGGCCATTCACTGTGATTTGGCCTGCAAAAAGATCATTCATTAATGATCCCATGCTTCCAATATCACCTGAAACTAAGATATATGGTTCTGCTTAACTAACATACATATAACAAGTATTCATTAATGATCCCATGCTTCCAATATCACCTGAAACTAAGATACATGGTTCTGCTTAACTAACATACATATAACAAGTATTCATTAAAGATCCCATGCTTCCAATATCACCTGAAACTAAGATATATGGTTCTGCTCAACTAACATACATAAAACAAGTACTTGTGAGCCCTGGTCGAAACCAGCAAGAGTTTAAAAATGGAGGGACAAGAAAGAACTCCCAAATTGGTCCGTGAATTCCAGAATTCCTAAAGGAATGGTGAGAAACATTGAAGCACATGGTAATCTGATCTTATTCTTTCATGTTTGACAAGTTATGATTTGTGGCTGTGTCACAAGGGTTATCTAATCTAATGAGGTTAACATTTATTAAATTGTTACATACATTTTCATTTCTTTAAATATTATTAAAAGGCAATTTTGGTAAAAACTGGAGAACATCCAAAGTTACCCGCTGCTCACCTTACCTTATTTCAATGATCAATATCTGTATAATTGTCCATGGTTGGTAGACCAAATGGTTACATATATCAACTCTAAATCATCAAAGATATGTTCAACGAAACATCTCATCAAAAAATATCACTTTCAAACCTGAATTAGCGAGGCTAAAACATTGAATGACAATAACTCATTGAATCTCTAGTTCAATGAATCTAAACAATCTACAAAATTGTAATATTGTAAATGAATGACGCATAAGCTCCATTTGAGCTCAACGAGACCTAAGAAAGTTTGTCCTACCTTGACTGTTCATGTTTATCGTTCCGAGTTTAGTGAGGGCTGCAAGGTTAATCATAGGAGTGCTCGCTCCACTGCTGCCGCTGCTTGCGTCCACACTTATACCACTGTCAGACATCGCAGGGCTGTGGGAGTTACGTGACGCAGAGCGCTCGCCAGCACTAGGTAGGCTTGTGATTGCATTTGCAATGCTAGACATGCTCGACATTACGGAGGTTGTCGTGCCCAGTTGACCGAGGTTCCCCAGTGATAGTGGAGGGAGGTCAGTGAGTGCAGATGCCTGGAAAATGGCAAAGTTAACATTACACTGGACTTGTTGACATTCTAAGTAAAACACATTTTAATATGCATGCCCATGGGATTGTAACAGTATACATCTAGGTGAAAATGTTAGTTTTCATCAGTTCTTTTTGGTAGACATCCAATAATCGTGTCTATCATTTCAGACACATGGAGGTTCTACTCACTTCAGCTGCTTAATGGCAGCAACTTTTGGCATCTTTTAGACTCTGTCCAGACAGCTAATACTAACCTTCACAATAAATACCCAAAAAACATTGATCTAATTACAGCAAAAAGCCAGAGATTTTCATTACCTGTGATAGAAGGTCTGTTGTTGTTACAGAAGGCAACACATCTGGGCTTAGAAGACCTCCTGGCAGATTGAAGGTTTCAGTATCAAAAGAAGACTGCAGTGAGTTGGGAGATGTCTCCTGTCTCGCAGGTGGCAACTCAACAGCTTGCTACAAGTGAAACATATCACTTTCAATGGATAACACATTCACATTTTTGCCAAAAATTCATCGAAATATCCCTTAATGTTAACTTTTTTTAAACTATCAAAGGAGAATTGTGCCTCGAGTTCAATGCTTGTAAGTTGACTGGTACTATGAATACCTTAGGTGGCTCTTCTTTAACGAAATGTCCAAATGTTTCTTTGGTCGCTTTTTCAAATTCTGTTGCCTCGGAAACAAACTCTATTTTGTCATTAACATCATCTCTGTAATACAAATCATGTTATAAAACCAATTGTTAAGTGGAATATTACAAATATATGCATACAAGCATAAAAGATTAAGAATTGTATCTAAATTCAAATATTGACTTTCAGAGGAAAATGTTAATCTGAAATCATTTCTCAATTTATGTAAACACTACTAACTGTTATGTTGTTTTTTCATATTTAATCACAAAATGCTTTGGACATAATTAATAACTCTTTTCTTGTAGTTTTCTAATTCAAAACCTGAATTTTGAAAGGATTGTCCATAAGCTGAAATCTTCTCAACATTGAAACCTGTATATCCAAACACCCCTCTTATCCAAACATCTCTCAACAGGTCAATGTGAACTTTTTTCAGTCAAAATTTTATTATCTCACATAAACGCACATATTGTATGATGAAAAACTTGAAATGTGAACACCTGCTAATCTAAACAGATTTTATTGTACTTACTTTGGAATATTATTGATCAGTGTTAAAAGTTGTGAGGCAACATATTTCTTCAGCATAAGGAGCTCTGTAAGGTTCCCACGCTCCAGGACTCTCTCAGTAAACTTGCTCCCATCCTCTATCTTCTCAATGGTTTTCTCAACAGTGTGGAATACTTCCATAATACCAAGTTCTTGATGGGAGTGCATTTCCTCCAGTTCTTTAAGTTTTTCTTCCTGTTAAACAATACCAATCTTATAGTGTTCAAAATGCCACCACCTTGTAAATTATTGCATATTGTTACACATGCCAAACTCTGACCATCGGACGCCAAATGCTGAACACTGTCCACCAAAAGGGTGACTGTAACACCCCAGAGTAGAAAATCCCAAAAAACAAAACATTTTATCAAATCACTGGTAATAATTATGAACATTTCATAACAGAAATAATCAAGCAGTAATAATCTCCTTTTGACAAAACCTTCATATGAATGACCCTAATTTTTTGAAAACCAAATCTGACAAGTCACCACAAATTATATTTCTCCAATCAACCATTTTGAATTGAAACAACAAAAATGTTGAAATCTGAAAATCTAGTTTCCAAATACTTGCTCGGCAAATCTCTAATACAGCTTTATAACATTCAAATAATTATACTTACATGGCATTTCTACATTCAAATACCTACCTGGCATTTCTCTAATATAACTTTATAACATTCAACTACTGACATGGCATTTCTACATTCAAATACCTACCTGGCATTTCTCTAATATAACTTTATAACATTCAACTACTGACATGGCATTTCTACATTCAAATACTTCAGCGCTTGCATTAGGTTAGAAAATTTGTGAGTCCCAAGGACGCAATTTTTTTTAAAAAGTGTGTCCTTTGAAAAAAAAGTGTGTCCCTTATTTTTCAGTTTTTGATTTCTTGCCGCGAATTTAAAACGGAAGTAAACGTTAAGTACGGACTGAATAAATGCATGTTCGTTCATTCGACAATGAATACATTTTATTTCATGAATAACCTAATATTTGTTTCTGAATAGGAAAAACTGTTGCGTGTCATGGTTTCAAATCTAAAAATAAACAGTCGAAAAAATTCGAGAGAATCATGATTATTTGTAAATATTCAACATGTCGAGCCTTATTTACGATTCAAATAAAAGTGAGAGATCATAATTATTTGTTTTTGTTAGGTATCGTTGTAAACACATTGTAGTATTGGCCGCAGGGGTTTCAATAAATATTTTTTCAACAGGCCTTTTGGCAATTTCAACAGGCTGAATTTTTTTCGACCATTCGCCTCATGTGCTTTCTCACTGTGATGTTAAATGATAAAATCAGTATTTTCCTGTCACTTAATGCACATTGTATATGAGCAATTGATCTCAATAAAGCAGATCAATACATAATTGATTGTTAATTCATTTTTGACTTCTTAATTACTTTGTGTTTTTCAATGTTGCCCCTTGTTCCTCCTCACTCTGATATAAATAATAACTCAATATTCCTTTCGGACACATTATTAATTTCAATGAAATATAAAGATCAACATTCAATAGTTTGATATGCATTTTTGACTTGTAATATTTTGTTTTTTTTCAAATGTTGCCCTTTGTTCTTCCTTACTATGATGTGAGATAATGCCAAGAGGTTCAATTGTATTGATTATATTGTTTGTTTTATCCATTGAAAGTTGGCAGGACAGTGATAAAGGTTTTTTGCTACTGACCCATTAGTCTCAAAGCAATGATGTTTTGGTTTTGAGAGTAGGTCAATAAAAATGGTGGCCGGATTATTGAAAGATAATTATCTCAGTGTTTCTGTAAAACACTGCTGATTATCTGCCTATTATACTTAGATTTTGCCTTCACAAGGTAGGCCAATTTATATTCTTTCATTTGATATGTCAAACTTTATTGATTTGTCTCATGTGTCAGCAAAATCTCTCATCATTTGGACCGGCAATTTTTTCTCAATTTTTTTTCTCAATATTTGAACCAGGGTAACTAGGGTTTGAAGCGATTTTGACCTAAAAAAAATTTGCGTCCAAAAAACGGAAATATTTTCAATTTTTGCGTCCTCAAAATTATTTTTGAGTCCTTAACATGTACGGGACGCCGTTAATGCAAGCCCTGTACTTACATGGCATTTCTCTAATACAGCTTTATAACTTTGGAATGTTTCATCAATGAGGCCCTTAGCTTGGTCTCTCTGTATCTGGAGCTCCATAAGAGAATTCTGTAGCGCTCCACTAACATCTTCACAGTAATCCTTCTTTGATATGCTCTCTGCTATTAAGCTTTTTAGCTCATCTTTCTGCTTAGTTTCAATTTCACCGAAGCGTTCATAGAAATGTTCTGGCTGTCTGTGAGTTGTAGCCATGCACTCATTGCATATAGGAACCTGTTAAAATATGATAAAATAGTAAACCTATGTGCTGGGGTATTTGACAATTCAGACTTAAGTTGAAGATATGATTGCTACAATATAATGCAAATTGACATTAAGGCTACTGCGGAGTACTGCCCAATAAGCAACTTGTTAAGAGTGAAAAGTCATTGCCATTAGAAGTCAGCAAGCTGAAATCTTGACTGAGTTTTCAAAATCTCAACTGGCCACAAATTCACAACTGGCCTAAAGAATTAATGGTTGCAAAGTTAGTTTTTATTTGATGTTTGGTTACAAAATTCTCAACTGAATGATAAGAAGCACAATTGTTTGAATGCTTACTAAGAAGACTACTACTTAACTCCAATGTTTTGGGAAATTAGTTTTATTCTGACTAGTTTATTTACTGCAAAGGATTAGAATTTGCTAAGTTTGGTTTCATTATGACTAGTTATTAACTATAAACCATTTATTGGTATTTCGTAGCTCTGGTTTCATTTTGATATGCAAAGAAAGGTAATTCTAAGCTCATCAATTGAGATGATTTTCAGATAAATTGTCTCATAGTGCAATGTTTGAAGTGATATGTGTTATCAGTTTATGTGTCAAATTAAATCAACTTGACCTTTAATTACTGATAGCTTTGTCTATTGACTCAATAATTACCGTTACATAGTTTGCCTTATGCAAATAACAATCAAATGCCAATGTATGTATGTATTCAATAATTGGTCTTATCTAAGCCCCAGAAAAAAACATAACTGATAATTTTCCAATGTGAAATATAGTGGAAACGAGAGAAATATATGTTCCCGTATACTTCCAAAGCTTTAATCATTTCAACATTCATGTGAAGATTTCCATTGAGGTTTAGAATGAAATGATTTTTGAAATTGTTGATAAGGCAAATGTTTAACACACAGTCTACATTATGTGCATAGGTATGCGGACTACTTCTTAGAAGCCAATTGTTATAAGGGTATTATCCAACATTTATGTGGAGTGTGCATAAGTAAATTATATTGGCTAAACCAGTGAACTGCCTTATATTATACTGAGCCTTTGATTTATGTTGCTTTATATCCTAAAGAAGGTTTCATGATACTTTTCTTTAATGATTCTACTTAATATTTATTTAATTCTTCATTTCAAAACTAATAAGGAACAGGGATTTCATTAGTTACAGCCAATTGTCTCAATTTTTTATACCAGACTGCCTATTATTATAAGGAAATCTACATTTGTCTCCATTTTAAAAAATTTGATTTTAAATAATTTAGACTGTTTGTTCCATTCCTTTTTTCCTATTGCGAAAAAATTGATGAAGCCCTTGGAAAGAGGGAAGAAATACCCCATAATTCAAAGATGAACTTATGTCAAGAGGAAGTTGTTCATCTTTATATGGAGAAAGGTACATCTATGAATCATGGGATATCCCCTCTTTTTTCCCCTGGGTTATAAACACACACTACTATACCTAACACGTAGAAATGCATAAGATACTTTTTTGTCCAATTGAATTGTTTAGTATATTTTTGCAAGTACCTTATTAACATCTAACTTTCAACCAATAAACCATTAATAAGGAACAGAAAAATAAAAACAAATACATAATCATTACTAATAAGCCAAATGGGTTGCTCATGAACACCAAATGCAAGGTATAGTAGCGTGAAACATACCTGGCAAGAATTGCAAAAATATTTCATTGTTTCTGTTTCATGGCTAGCACAGAATAATGGTTTGTGAATTGTGATCCCTTCCGTCTTAAGGTCTTCAAATGACATCACCTAAAAGTAGAATAAAATTGATATTACCGTATATTGAGGATTCTCATTTACACTTGCAAAAAGTGTCACCCATTTATGTTATTAATTTTGTAATGTTTTTGTTATTTACTATTCCGAATCATTCCAGGTTTATCTGGCAAATTTATGAAGTAAATTGAACATTCAATGTTAAAAATATCTCTATTTCATCAAACTCATGAAATTATTTCCCTAACAAGTATCATAAATCGACATCAATCAAAATTGAACGGTTTTAATAGACAATGAGGAAAAAACTCCAGGAAGTTTGCGTTATCATCTAAATTATGAAATGAGTCATGGGCTATTTACAATGATTTGAATCACATCAAAAAAGGGAAAAGAGAATTAGAAATCTGGTATAACTGAAAATAATGTAGGTAATTTACCTTATGGTTTTCAAAACACCTCATATACTGATGAGCGGTGACACAATTTGGGCAAAGAAAATTTGCACAATCACTGCATCTTGCGACTGCCTTCTCTTTGGCTTTACACGAGGTACAGACAATCGTCATTTCCTCCATAGCAAGCTGGTCTAACATGTTGCACATCACAAAATCTGATGGCAAAGAATCAATAGACTCTTTACATATTTGTTTACATTCAGGACATGTGAGTTCGGAGTTTTCCTCCTCTTCAAGTTTCTTCTCTAGACATTCTGCACAATAGACGTGTAAGCAGGGTAGTACTTTTGGCTGTGTATATTTGGCGTCACAGATTGCACATTTTAGAGCGGGGTCGACTGGGGTTGTCTCGGGGGAACTGCCTCGTTCCGAACCACCATCCAGGCTTCCTTCCGCAGAATTGTTAGACATGATGGCTGAGTTCTTGCGTTATCCCTAAATGGAAAAGAATAAATGACAAGAGGGAAGAGAAACTATCAAAGTATAATTCAAACAACACTTTCATTTTAGTATAAAAAGGTCAGCTGTCTGCAGCATGCAAAAATGACTAAGCTGAAAATGTATTTCATTGTATTTCAAATTTTATGGATCGCCCCATAGCAAGAAAACCTTAAGAGAATAGTAAATGTGGTATTTTATGTTTTGGTAGCTATTTCTAAAGTGTAACGTACGAGATTTTACAGTTGCCAGGGCATTGAAAAAATTGAGGTCAACCCAGAAAAATTCGCACTTGTTGAGCAGCAGAATTAAAACGCAATTTGCGCAGTAATGAAGACAGTTATATTGGTAAAACATCGGCAAAATGAAATATAGACTTACCATGGATTATCTTAATTGCGTATGGCCTGCCATTAATCTGGTTTGAAGTAGAAATTACGATCCAAAATCACTGCATTGCCACGCATTACTCGAGTTCTTTCCCGCCATCTTGAATTCTATTGTAAAATGCGCATGCGCAACATAACGCGGGAAATCTGGATGCAGCATGGTCTTGATGTGTTGTAGTGTTGAGGGGGGGGGGGGGGGGGGCATTGTCTTTGTGGTGAGCCACATTTAAATATGAAACACATTTTGCACTCATACGGGAAGTGGTCTTTATATATGATATTTTTACAATTTAGTTCACAATAGAACATAAATGTCTTTGTCTGTTTTATTGGTTCAATGAGACTCACTGACTAGTCGCACTGGCGGATCTGGGGGGGGGGCCCAGGGGCCCGGGCCCCCCCCCCCCTTGGGTGGGCCCAGAGAAAAAAAATTGTGCCCTAAAAAAATTTTGAGCCAAAAAAGGCCTTAAGGCCCCAAAAAGTAGGCCTTTTTGGTCATAAATTGGCCTTCTAAGGCCTTATTTTTTAATTTTAGGCAAAATTTTGAAGAAAATGGGCCTCAAAATTTCAAAATTTGGGCCCACTTTTGGGTTTTTGGGGCCCAAAATTTTTTTCCGCGCAAGCGCGGACGTTTTTTTCACAGACCAGAAATTTGGGCCCCCCCCCTTGTTGCTTCCCAGATCCGCCCCTGTTTAAGTGACTAGACAGGCGTAAAAGGGCAGGCCTGAAGCCAGGATTGCCAGGGGGGAGGGGTTCACATTTGACAATTTTGGCCCAAATATTGCTAAAATCACTTGTTAAGTGCTCAAATTGGTGAAAAGCTGCATGATTTTGAAAGAATTTTTGAATCCTGCGAGCCCCCTTGGCTGCAGGCAACAGTCCCATCTGTAGTTCTAGATTGTTATCCCTTGCAAATAATTTCTAAACAATGAAGTACAAATTTATTTTAATAAAAAAAATTCTAATATCATTTGAAAGGCTGTTTTAAGTGTATCTACAGTATATACAGGGTGGGCAGGCCCGTAGTCAATTTGCCAAGGGGGGGGGGGGGGGGCGGCCGGCCCAATTGAAAAATAAAACTAATTACCAACTTATTACCAACTAATTTACAACTAATTATCAACAATTCTGCTGGCAATTGGAATTAAAGTTAAGCGTTTATTAAATCAATGATAATTATGGCCTAATTATCAGTAGCAAGTTCAACGTAAATTAACTTAAAATAATACTGATTTATGATTTTTAGTTGATAATTAAGATAAGAAATGTTTGAGGGTGATAGTAAGTGGTAAATTAAAACGTTTTTGTTCTGAAGTAGATTATTGGTTGATAGTTAACATATAGGATGATTATAATGATAATTAGTCGTAAATTAGGCCCATGATTTAGAAATACAAACCCCCTAAATTTAATTTCAAGATGGTGGAAAAAGAAAACATGTGAGAGATATTTCTCTCATAAAATTGAGAATTACAACGTGAATGGTGCGTATACTACCATGAAATTTGGTCAACATTATTATAAGGGTATGTAGAACATGAATACAATGTATGTTAAATCTTATTCACACTTCTGTCTGAAATATTTATGAATTTAAAAATCTTTTTGAATCAGATCATATAATATTAATCCTAGAATGCAATTTAGGTACTAACATGGGTTACCTATATTTCACAAGTAATCCAAATGTGCTCTTCTAAATAATGATTGTTAGATCAAAGACATTTCAAAACATATTTTTGATTATATCTGTTACGTCCTTATTATGTAACAGGCATTATAGTCTAATGTTTGTGTTCTGATTTTAGTTGTTGATGGCAATAATGATGTTTTCACATGCTTTTCATGAATCTTAAAAATTTGCAAAATAGAATAGCTTTAAAAAAGAGGGGGAGAAACCCCAGGGTTCAAAGATGACATACGCTTATAATGTAAATCTGTTTTGAGATGACATCGTCGCTGATTGGTTTAGCGAGTCGATCGTTGATTGGTTTAAATCTAGGTCAATTTGATAACTTTAAAAACCAAGATGGAGGGTACGTTTTCGACAAAAGGAGGTGTGCGAAGGAGGAAATCTTATGTCATCAATTGAATCATGGGGTTTTCCCTCCTCTTGCTGTGAAATTTCAATAGTTCAAGTTCAATTTTGTCTGTTCTGAAAGATCCTAATTAAGATGAATATTCTGTCACAAAATAGTTCAAGATGAAGCAAAAATCTCCGAGTGAAGGGAAGCAAAAAAGAAGCGAGTCATTTTTGAGATGTCACAAATCTGACTTAAACCTAACTTTCAACTAATTATCAATAGTAAGTTAGGTGATAATTAGAGATTAACTTACATCAAACTTACAACTAACTTTCAACTAATTTACGTAAATAGCTCATTTGCATATTGATGGTAGTTCATTGTTAATTAAGTTGCAAATTAAGCGTTAATTAAGTTGATAATTAGCTCATTTGCATGTGAATTTTTACACCTAACTTTCAACTAATTATCAATAGTAAGTTAGGTGATAATTGGAGATGATTTTCCATAGGCTTTTTTCAATTGGGGGGGGGGTCAGTTTTCAAAAATTTCCAGGAGGGGTTCACATTTGACAATTTTGGCCCAAATATGGCTAAAATCATTTCAGAAGTGCTCAAAATGGTGAAAAACTGCATGATTTTGAAAGAATCTTTGGCCGGGGGGGGGGGGGGGGGGGGGGCGAACTGCGAACTCCCCCCTGGCTACAAGCCTGGTGGACCAATAAAAATTGGAGCATATTTCATTTTATTCAATTTTCCTTAACTTGCAGTTCAGTCCACAAAAATTCAAATAATGGTTATTTGTGAAAATGTTAATGATAAAAATATGTATGATTATATTTGGCTTGTCATGATCACATTTCGTAGTTATCTCTAGAAGCTAGACATGTCTTCCTAGGACTGTTGACCTCAGCTTTTTTCAAAACTGGCACAATATGTCTCAAATCTAGCTATATTTAAGCCAAGCATGATTTTCAAATACAGGTCATACTGATTGATCAGGTGGGTGGAGGACATGTTCAGTAATTAAATGTTGAGCTTGTATATTCATATTTACAGGAGCTGTTGACAATGGATTGTTTTTCAATTTTTTAAAGTATTGAAGATAATACATATGACTAACAAAAAAGTTACAATCAATGGAAAAATGGTATAATTTTTTTACTCAATGTAAGGGTTTCCTGAACTTGTCCTCCCCCACCTGAACAATCAGTCTGAGCTCTATTTGACAGTCATTCATGGCTTAAATGACAGGTTTTGAGACATATTGTGTCAGTTTTGAAAAAGAGCTGAGGTCAGTGACATGTCTTGCTTCTCCTAAAGACAATCACATATGTTTTAATTGATGGAAATTGTGTTGAGACCATTTGAAGGGTACATATTGTATGGTATGAAAGATACTGAATGAAAGATACTAAATTTTCAGCAGTGATGTCTCAAGCAGAGAAAATTTGGAAATTGTTCATGACACATGAAGAATACAGATTATGACCATGACAAGTCAAAAATAATCATACATACATATTTTCATCTTTAACATTTTCACAAATAATAATTTTACCATTATCTGAATTTTTGTGGATTGAACTGCAAAAAATAAAGACAATTGAATTAATAGAAAAATGTTCCAATTTTTATTGGCCCACCCTGTAGCTATAAAGTCGGAAGCTAAGAAGGACTTTAATATTTCTTTAAACCAATCGTCTTCGTCAATTTCGCCAATTTCTCTCATTTCCACTCCTATATTGATGTCTGGTTGAATAACGTAACAGCTTTAATAAATTATATTTTAAAATTGTATATTTTCAATGGACTTTATTTACAAATACAAAGATACATATATGTATATTAAGACATTTACACATATTGTATCTTTCAAGTTTTTATAAATGTACAACAAATCCTGACAAATATCCTTGTATTATAAGCTATTCTTGTACTTACACACTTAAAAATAGAACTGAAGCAGCTAATAATTTTTTTTGAATACTGTAATGACACTTACGAATATGATGATACAATGGCCAAAATACGAAATAAGAAAAAAATCATTTGCATTTCCTTATCCAAACGCTACTGGAACCAGCCAAAAGTATACAGCTAGCAGGATGCAGGTTTTCATGTTTCATTCAAGACTTTTCTATATTTGAGTCAATGGGGATAAACAATTTGGGACCGAGAGAGAGTCTTTACATTGGAAATTGGAGTTTGGAAATCTAGGTTTTACTGCATATATAATTATCACAGTCAAAAATGACAAACATGCAAAATCATAAAGCTACAAAACGCAAATGAAACGATACATGAGATTCTTACCAGAATAAGTCCTCTCATATTTGATTTCAGTGGCTGAGAGAGCAGATTACTAGTTTAGAAGTAATAAACACACTCTTCTGGTATTCATTTTTTTGTTTTTAACTTATTTTAATTAAAAAGGATACATTTAGCCTTCATAGCAAATTTTTACACCTTTTAACAATCCTTCTTTAAGACCAACCTGATATTCACGCACTAGGTATATTTCAATGAATGAGATCAAATAACCTGGACTGGAATTTAATTGAGGGACTGAGCAAGACTCCCTGTTCTTTAATGCCATAAGTTACATTATCTCATACCCAATGCTCAATATTTTTCTGTGATAAAATCTGGATTTCTAACCCTCCCCTCCACACAAACAAAACTGGTTTTGCAAATGCTAAATACTACATGTATGAAACCTATTGCAGTGATCTCCCTATGATTTTTTCTCAGGTGGGTGCAAAATTCTCACAATTTTGTCTGAATTTACAATTCAGACAAAAAATTGGTCAAAATATGACAATTTTCCATGATTTTTATAATTTTCAAGTAGGTGCAAATGAGTTTTCAGGTGGGCGCAAGCCTATTTTCAAAATCTCAGGTGGGTGCTGTGCCCACTTGCTTTAATGCTGGGGAGATCAGTGTATTGTGTACATGACTGCATTCATATTAAATAGATGTTTGCATATATCTTTCTATCAGTTGCATTCTGTTTTGATAAAAAGATGTGACCAAAGTCTTGCATCAAGTGATTGTAAATCTTTCACTCCCCCCCTCCCCATTCCCCTTACTTTAGAGAGGATGGAGGATACCGAGTAAGCGGTGGAATACCCCAGAATCCAGATGTATCAATCCCTATGTAAAGGTAAACCTCTAGAGGTTTGCCTTATTTGGTCATTGGAGATAGGTTCCTCTATGAATTCTGGGATGTTCCCTCTCTTGTACAGTCAAGGGTCTTACTGCAAGAGTAGGGTGTCAAATAAATATGTTCTCCCCTCCTTAGCTTTAACATCCACATAATGTTGCATAACTTTTTTCTCTACATGATGTCTGATTTGTTCTTTCGCACATCAAAACTAAGCTTTCACAATTAGTTTCAGATGACTAGCTCAACTAGATATACTTTTATGCACAAAAGTTCATTCTCTTGAAATCAAGGGGGGACATATTTATTTGACACCCTGTAGACCACAAGAGTTTCTTGTTATTTGTACTAGATCAATAGTCATCATCACTAGAATCGTCATCATTTCTACCTCGAATGTTTTTCTTAGTGGTTTGCCCAAGAAATGATGGTTTCTTGCCGCCTACTGAAGATTCCGAACCTGGGGGATCTAAAAGATTTCCACTATAAGTGATGATATCAGCTTTAGCAATGCGCCATTCAAGAACTTCAGTTTTGAAGTCATCAGCACCTCCTAATTCATCAAACCCAACGATAAAGTCAACTGTTTTGCCATCCTTGGCAAGACAAATAGTTGGAAGAACGACAATACGGAGACGTTCAACCAAGAATTGAACTTTTTCAGCATTAATTTTAATGAATTTGGTCTCCATATGTTCTTTGGCTAAAATTGCCAAATGTTTATCAACGATTTTACACCTGTCTGTGGAGTCTCTATAAAAATGACAAACAACATTTTTACTCTTTTTACATTCTCCAAAAAATTCCTTTTCATCCTGAACTTCGAAATATTCTCCATGGCCGGCTGCTCTCCATTTTTGTTTCAATTCCTGGGCTTTTTTCATGTTTTGAATTCGTTTCTTACGCAGAACCTGAAAATAGACGATAAACATATGAATGTACTTTCAAGGATTTCCACACCATTTTAACAATGAAAATGAAATCACCTGACATTTCACTGACCAATCTCAGTCCACCCAGACCATGATGGGCAGAGCAAGAGGAAATACCCCAGAACTCACTGATGAACCAATCTCTGTAAAGATGAACCTCTCGAGGCTCCAACCACCACCTGCCAGATTAATGGTTGAGCCACTTTAAAGAGTGTACTTATACTAATATAGTGATAAAAAAGTACCATGTAAAAGGAGGAATTAGAAAAACACATAGTTTCCAAAAATAGGATTATCACCCACCAACCACTGATTAAAATTCAAATTTTTCTCACACGCTAAATATCAGAACTTTAACATTGCATTTGAATTTGCTTTAAGGTCAACTTCACAGTCACAATTTCTCAATGTTAATACCTCAAAGTCATCTTCATCCATTGTCTCCATCTTTGCAATCTCTGCGTCAACTTGCTGTTCCATCATATTAGTGGCAGCCACCAACTGCTGTTCCAACATATTCTGCGCCATTTTCTTTGTTTTTTGCTGCAATAACACAAATTTTGTTAAATTCTATTTAGCATGCTCATATACGTTTGCCATTTGGCTTACAAATTTGGTTAAACTCTTAATTAAATTTAAGAACTCTATTTAGCATGCTTACGTAAGTTGGCTAACCAATAATTCTCATATGGATACTGGATAACAATCGTTTATAGCCTGTGACTTTCATCTGAAGACGGCAGGTGGTTAATTTGACCACCTGCCTGCTGTTTTTCAACAGTTTTGGCAGTTAGAGGGCTGATTTATATATTAATTAGTACAGGTAAGATCACTTCTAAATTGATGCAAAATCCTCATTTTACTGTTGCAGTAATCAATCTAGTAATACTAATACTACTCTTATCAGTTATATAGATGTTCAAAACACAGCATTGAGTCGCCTTTTAATGCAGTGATCTCCCCAGGAATCAGCAGGCCTGCCAACCCGAGGGCACCCAACATGCTTGACTTGGTACCAAATATTATTCTATTGGACGAGACTATACCTTCATATTATTTACAGTCTTTTGGGGGGGGGGGGTGTACACCCTGCAATTGTTACCAAACTTATGAAGAGGAGTGTACATATTAAAATTGTTACCAAACTTTTAGAGGGTAGTGTTCCTATTATTGTTGTTTTCAAACTTTTGGAGGGAAGTGTACCTATTACAACTGGGTTAAGTGATCAATTTCAATTCAGTTCACTTTGAAGATTAGCTTTTTGAAGACGGAAAATCATCTATTTAAATTTAAATTAAATACAAAACCCATTCTTCTTTTAAAAAAACTTATGCGGTTTATGCTCGACACAATATTTGATTAAATGTCATTGCAATTTTCAAATCAAATCATATTGATTCATGAATTTTGAGCTTTTTCAAATTAAAACTTGTGTCTGAAAACAGTTCATTCACAGGTCATACACGAGCTTGCCTGTCTTGAATCATTCCGTAGAAATGATTGAAAAATCATCAGGAAAAATCCAAACTATAAAACTTTTAAAATCCTTGGTCTAAACATGGCCTTTTAACGGTTCAAACATTGACTTTGAATAGACCTTCATGCATAATTCGAAGATAGAATCATTGGAGAAAGTTTTAAAGCATGAAATCAACTCTAAAGCAAGAAAATGTAGTTATAAATTATCCTATGCATAGTTATGATATGTCGAAATAGTTAAATTGACTGGAGGTCAAAACAGAACTCTGTTATCTTTGTTAAAAAAAAATCTAAAAATGCTAAATTTTTTGCCACTTCCTGTTTCGTCATTCCTGTTAAAGTATCATGGCACCTTAAAATGCTTTTTATTTGATGATTCTAGCTTAATTTTGAAGGAAGTTGCATCAATTTTTGTACATTTCAAAATAAATCTTATTTTTGGCTTGTATGCCACAATCGCAAAATCTGTCACAGGTTACTGAACACAGCTGGCTCAAAAGCCAGCTGATGGAACGTTCAAATTTACCGTCTTGTGAAGTGGTTTTCTCCAACATCCAGCAGGCGTGCTGGAATAAGAAACGGTTTTTAAAAAGATGATTGAATGTAACTTGCCCTTTTCATGATGCGTGGTGACAATAAGTCCTACTTGTTGTGTAATTTGCAGTTAAAGTAGAGAAATTCCAGACCTGGTGCGTACCATTTTTTAACTTTATGCGCATATGGCATTATACTTTGTACAGGGACGCAATCTTGGACAAACCTACTGAAAATACTGGTTGAAGGAACAAAATAAGGTAACAACAAATAAATAAATTATGTATTGATTCAAATATATAGTGTATTATAAACGCTACTCAGCACAGCGTTTAGTCAAAATGGGCGAACTCCTATGCAGTGTCTCGGTATAGACACTGCGGCGGGCAGATTATGGAATCCCCAAACTTTGGGGAAGATAGTCCCCCTTTTTGTCACAGATGTAATTGTTTTTCACACAACTTATAAAATATATGTTCTTTTATGTTCACCAATAATTATTTTGTCAAAATATTCCAAAATCAATGAAATATAAGAGCAAATCCCCGCGGAAGGAATTCTGAGTAAATGTTGTGTTGATAAAAGTTTACCGCACGTGTTGTTTATTAGTTAATACGCGCAATTCAACCAATGAAATTGTCTAAATTTTACAATCACGCAACCTGAGCATGGGACTAGAACCAATCACGTCAGTTGTTTATTACGATGTTACCATGCTTACGGTGAGACACCTGCCCGCCGCAGTGATATATCACTGCACGGGAGTTCGCAAAATGGGCTTGATTTTTTCTTTTCAAGAATTTTCAATCCAGCCTCCCGGAGCTGACTTCTGTCAGCTCGGTATGAGTAAGTCACAGGGAAGAAGGTACCATTTTGTATAAGGAACGTTTTGAAAGGTGGTCATTTTTTTTTGAAATTTTCCAATTCAGTGATTCATCTTCTGAATTACAATGTATTCTTTAGTTTGAGCCTATGAGATCCTACTACAAAACGATCTGGCCAACATCTATGATCGCAACCCCCCCCCCCTTCTGAGACTGAAAGAACTTGTGTTTTACTTTGGTATGTCACTCAGGTTAGGTGTTGACAGGGCTGATATAGGTGTGACGATCGTGGATCGTCATTTTTATTAATGAAAATCTGAAGTCCTTTTATACAATAAGATATGATATATATAATAAATCGAACTTATATCAGTGATCAAAGTTACCCCTGTAATGTAAAGAAACGATAAATTATACGTAAATGACATGAAGTCTAGTATAAAAATGAGAAAACTTACAAAATGTCCCGAGAAATCTTTAAAATTGGTTTCTTCTGCTCTGACCGGAAGTAGATTATTAATGGTGAAACGAAATCAAAACTTATGAGAAGCGTTCAGCTGTTTCTGAATATTTGATAATGTTGCAATTAAATGCAAGGATGGTAAATGATTTATTAGAATATAATTGAAGCTTTAATTTGGAGTAAATAAGTAAAACTAGTGATATATAGATTATTTCCGTTCTGCAAAAAGTTTGCCATTATAGAAGCGCGAAGTTTGAATATGACGTAAAACAATGGTTTGGATTCCTATATAAGTCCGTGTCCTGGTTACGACCGCCATTCTCGTGAAGAATCGGAAACCACTGACAAGACTTGTGGTTTAAGGTTATGTTATTCTTGGTTAGCCTATTGAAGCACACAAAAAGTCTTCATGGTAGCTCAATCAAGTGATTAGCCGAAACAAGTTGCTGAATTCTAATTGTTATAAACATTGTTCTGCTAGCCGAAAGAGTTAGCCGAACATTATAAATAATCCTGTTAGCCGAAGCTGGTTAGCCGAACTTAATATCATAAACAACCCTGTTAGCCGAAGAATTAGCCGACAGATTAGCCGACAAATTAGCCGACGAATTAGCCGAATTTATTAGCCGAACCATTAGCCGAAGAGAGTTGTCATTGTTGATGAAATATTGGATCACAATCTATTGAATTAAAGTGAACATTGACACTATAAATATATTCATATAGTAAACATACCAATAAACATTCATTTCATTAACGTATTGGTGCATCTTTATGGACTATCGTGCTTAATAAATATTAACTTAATTCTCTAAAACACGTAATATTTCAGATCGTATTTATTGTAATTTATATGTGTTTAATAAGTTTAATAACCGTAATAGTGCATGTTTGTCACTGAAAAGACCACTGAGTAATAAATAGCAAGTATATATATATGCTACATAGGATTGAAGTATCACACAAAAATAGGCCAAAACTGATCAGGTGAGGGATTCACTTTCACTTTTTCAACTGATAATTTTTCAGATTTCATTTGTAAGACGCTATTATAAACACTCAACTGCTTTCATCAATGATATATACACAAGCAAATATATGTAAATTATAGATACTTTAAATCACCTTTCTTGATTGCAGTATACTTACTTTAGATCCGCAGAGAAAATCAATAAATGCTTGTGAACTTTGCGAAAATGTTTTGAAAGTTTATACAATATGGCGGATTCAATTTAATTTGAAATCTTTTATTTGATTGGCTACTGAAATATCATATTTTAAGCACTTTGTCGATTTTTTCCCTAAATCATAGGTATCATATCTAAAACATCATCTCTCTATACAGATAATATGGATTTTCACCTTATGAAGAGTCAACACTTACCCAAATTAGGCCAAAGATAGAAAAATAAAGTTTTTTACATAATTGACCAAATTTTCTTTAACCAATCAAAACCTGGCTTACAAAGAATTCCCTGACAACTGAGTCATAATTACCCACAATGCAACGAATTGCACCTAAAAATTCCAAGGAAGTGGAAATATCTGCGAATATGTCTCAAATTTCACCCTAAAGCAAGGTAAGATGTTCTTTAAATTAGTACCTAAGTACCCTTCATAGATTAGTTTTGCCTGATAATACATAATATTTCTCCTATGTGAATGATAAAGTGCTAAAAATCAGAGGTAAAGATTTTTTATCCATGAAAAATAATCCATCCAATCAGCAATCCATCAAATTGATCACATTCATTTATCAAGTCACTGAGATGAAAATTTGTGAATGAGCCCAAAATCCACGCATCATGGATGAACATATAGGTAGAAACATGTTAGTCTGATTACGTTGCTTGGCTTGATCGACACATTCTTCTTCTTCACATTCAGCCAGAATGAGGAAATGAGATGAGATTCAGAAAGCCCCGATCTAGATCTATTATACTTCAACTTGATGCAATATTTGACAATTTTGTATGGCCATTCACTTTTTTTAGCATTGACATTTTTTATTGAGCATTGCAGCATAATTCAGTTATGACAAAATTTCATCTAAAATTAGGCATCAGTTAACATTTCATTTCGTCGTTGCTTCAAATCAGGTTGTAAGTCAGTAATTGAATGAAAATGAAGGGTTACAGTTAATGAATTACATTTACGGACATATGTATTACATCTTTTTGTTTTACATTTGTTACATGGAAAAAATCAAATCGGAGGCAGGCGTTTTAAGCAAAGTTTTAATGAAAGGGGTTATATTGAGATGTATTACATACCCAGCGAAGCATTTGTATTGAAGTCAATGGAGCTGAAGGTCGGCTTTACTGGCATCGAATAGGATTTTAATGTCGACATGTTGGAGCTCTCGATCGACAACGATATCGACATTGTTGGGTTCAATGATATTCGAAAAATGAAAAAAATTTTGAAGAAAATCCGTCTGAATTTTAGATTTTCTAGGCTTGTAATTAGCAATGATGCACAATAGTCATCCTCAGTTGTATGTTTTATATCTAACTTACAGGTAAACCATGTTTAAGTATCAGACTTTGAAGAAAAAGCAATAAATAGACATAAAACAACGATTTCTCTGTTGTTATTTCCGGGCAGCCATTGAAAATAAATCTAATAATATCCTCATCTTCAACATTTTTGAAACGGCTAGTGCTAGCGGCGGCCATTTTATCGTCTGATAATGACGCCATTTTAGTGGAATGCTGGGAATATTATTCACCGGCAATGCATTGCGCGGTGTACAGTTAAAATTATTCACCGCTTATTGACCAATCAAAATTGAGTATTTCAACTGAGGTACTAACAATATGTTTTAGAAAATGTACATGTTTGTGAAAAAATAGCTCAGAGTACAACAGAATCTTCGATTTACTTCCTCACTTAAGTTACATAAACGGTTTTTCGAAAAACAGTTAAGATCTGCACTTTTAACCCAAACCATTTATGTAACTTAAGTGAGGAATGAAAATCGACGATTCTGTTGTCTTCTGAACTATTTGTTCGCAAATATGTACAATTTCTTAAACATATGGTACTGATACACGTTTGTGTTAAAAAATGTCATGGGAATTCTGCCTTCAACGTGTAAAATAAGGAAACGAGAAAAATCGTACCTTCCGGATGTTCCGACATTTTGTTACCAAAATGAACCGTTTTGGTAACCAGCGTAATCGAGTGGATCACCAGTGAACTGATCATTGGAAACTTTCAGCTTGTCAAGGTGGTGAGGTCTCTTTATAAATAAATCTATGATCAAAATTAACTCTAAATTATAAATCAAAGATTTCAATGCAGTGTGAATGAAAAAATAGGCAACTGATCATATTGGAAATTATTATTTTAACATGGAAACAGTTGCAAAACTCCTGAAAACAATAGGAGCTTTTGGTGAAAACTGATGGAGAAAATCACCTGTCCCCAGCTGCTAATGAAACCCCTTGAGCTTAAAGTACTCCTTCATATACAACACGTATCTTGTTGATTCATAGTCATGATAAGGAGTCAGTCATGAATTTATTAGGTCATTTTTGAGATATACAAACATCATGACTTTATATCTACAGAAAAACCTCTGAACATTGAATTTTTTTTTTGATGACAAAAATGTTCAGTGTTAGTAGATGTTTGTTACAGAGTCAGAGAGGTGATTTATTCAGAAGTCAGTAAAGTATGTCCGGAGGAAGGGTGTTTACTAGGTACAGGTGTTCACTACAGAGAGTTGTTCACTAAGACAGGTTTTACTGTTTATCAATAGCAAAAATAAACCACAAAGTCAGATGATTCAAAATCAATATTTGTAATAGGGTAACTTGTAAGTATGTAAATAAGCTTTATTCTAAAGTATGTTTATATGTTTTGTCAATGAAATACTCATTTTGATTTAAATAAATATGAATTCATCCTATTAATTCACAGTTATCTTTTTGTGAATGTTTTTATCGTAAGGCTAAGGAACTGATATTATTTTTCACTGGTAAGTTATATAACCAAACACCTATTGTTTTAAAATAGTAGGTGGTCAAGCAACAGTTTTTCTTTTTTAATTTTCTTTGATCTATTCATCAAATAATCAGTGTTTGAATATTGAACAATTAATTCAACAATATTAATTTAGGTTAGGGTCTAATGTAGAATCATTTATAATCTATAATGAATCTCGTAAGTCTAAATAAGGATTTTTGTATACAATAGTTTGTTTTTGATGAAAATTCTATTATGAGTAAAAAGGTTAGGTGTTCCAATAATAGAATATTTGGAGTGATCACCCCCTCCCCCTAGATTTCTATTCACAGACAATTTTAGCCCTGACTCGCAGAGTTACGGTAACTTAAATTTTGACTTATTTTGTCATAATTGCCAGTGAATTTATACATTTCACAGAATGAGCAGAAAGTATGATAAACAATCCGCCTTAATTTTCCTGTCTCAACAATGTAAAAATCCAGCTGAATTCCTGTGGTATAGAACTCTTCCTCTTGCAGAAAACATTTTAACTTGCAGGAAATTAGGAAGCGTAACTTATCTGCTATTTTCCAACATTTCAGGTCAAAATTGAGGGAAGCTCTAGCGACTAACTAAAACCACCATTTAACATTACCATGGCCTTCAATCCACAAGAATACAAACCAGAGCCTACAGCGCCACCTTTATCTCAAGCAGAAGCGCCACCTAGCTATGATGACTCCATTTCAAACCCTGCAGTTGCCGGGGCAGCTGCCGCAGCAATCCCAGGTGTATCACCAATGCATAACAGCCCAGTACTATATCCTGTGTTACCTACATCTCAGCAGCCAAGATATAGATTGGCTCACAAAGATTTTCTGCCTAAGCTCCTTAAAAAACATACATTCTCAGCTGACGAGTATGAACCTTTTAGGTAAGTTTTATGATAATTTTTTGCATTAAGGTGGATCGGATGGAACAGGTTTGTGCTTGATATCAATATGCATGTCTCAGTGAACTCCCCAACATTAAAGCAAGTGGGTGTAGCACCCACCTGAGATTTTGAAAATAGGCTTGCACCCACCTGAAAATCCATTTACGCCCACTTGAAAATGACAAAAATCATGAAAAATTGGCATATTTTGACCAATTTTGGTCTGAATTGTGAAAATGAGAGTTTTGCACCCACCTGAGAAAAAATCCTATGGAGATCACTGTTTCTATATGTAAAAGTTAAAGAGTTTGTTTCATTCGGATAGGTCCACCTTAAGTTTTGTAACAGGTTTATTAATCCAGTACTCAATTTCATTACCCTTTCCATTTAGTTTGATTTAGCTTCCTTAAAAGAGAGCTTCATCAACTTCATAGTTAGAACAACCCCCCCCCCAAAAAAAAGTTGGATAATAGGTAGAAACCAGTAGGATTAATGAATTGGTTTGTTTGAGGATTCAATGAAAAAGTGCAAAATAATAGCAAGTATAGAATAAATGACAAACAAAAAAACAAAGTTATTTTGCTTATGATTTCAATGTGAGAAATGAGCCAAGAATTATTCCTCTCTGGGATTTAATGTTCTAAATATTCATCCCAGCTGCATCTAAGTAACTCAATGAAAGTTAATCTATAGATGTTCTTCACAGTATACCTGAGACTGTTTATACTTGGTTGAAGATGAAATAACACAATCTTGTTTTTGAATCAAAATAATGGTGAAATAAAGAGAAATTACACACAAAATGAATCAAAATTGAATTTGTACAAAGAATACCAGACATTTCCTCGAGATATTTTATTGAATGGTAGTGGGAGGTTGCAATAAGCCATAAGCAAAGAGGGATATATACTTTAAGCCTTGGTGTGCCCTTGAAGCTGAAGTACTAGGCTATCCAATCTAAAGTACCTTAGAGATTGCAGTATCTTAGATACACCAAACTTTGCAAATAAAATATATAGCAAAGTGGTTAATTGTCAGATCCCTAGCATAGAATAATAATTATTTGGTAGAGTGTCAATCCTTGAGTAATTTAACAAACTTGACTTTTTAATAAGGTCATGAATGTGATATGAAAGATAAGAACAACACACCAAATTGTATTTCAAATATCTCGGGAGCATTTCTGTAAAGCTGAACCAGTGCGTTGGTCAGGATTTTGAAAACACCAAATGAAAGATTAACTTAGCCTAGCTACAGGCCCTTGTGACCCCCCTAAACACCCCCCCCCCCACAAGTCAGAAGGTGTTCAGTCTAGTAGAGGGGGGGGGGGGTCACAGAGTCTTGGAGCTAGACTAAGATTAATTAGATGAGCAAATATTCTTGTGGAATATTTTTGGCGTTGACTATATCATAACAAAACATATTAATATCCTCTATCAAGGGTTGTCAAGGTTTTTCATATCTTTACTTTAACTTGTTTAGGTATTTTTACGTAGTCAACTTGACTTGTCAAGGTATAGTAAAACCTGTATATCTGAAAACCTCTCTAATTGGAATACCTTTCAATGTGACCACTTTTCTTGGTCCCAATTTAGTTACCTCTTTATTGTATAGTGGAGAATCATCTGCTAAAATACAAATACTTTTGCCCAGTCCCACTGGCAATTAGACAGGTTCACTTTATTTCATACCTTATTTGGCTTGATATGAAGCATTACTTTCCAAATAAGGACATTGATGATTCAGTATGCAGACTTTAACACATTAATGTCTGTTTTGCTCTCTTTTTCAATCAGTCAAAGTAAAGTGTCAGGTTGTGTCTTCAATCAATTCAAAATGTCACACTGCATCATTCCTTCAATCCCTCTGGTATCCCTTTCTTACTTTTGAGTAGGGAGATGCATGCTAAATAATTTTGTCTTGAAATTAAATCATCCTCACCTACCACCCTGTTCCTGGTCTCGTACTCACTTACTCACAAATACAGGTTCTGTCTTATCTGAACACTAGTGTTGCTAACATTGTGGGACAGGACAGAAGTGTTCTTATTAACAGGTGTTCACATTTCAAGGTTTTTGGTTTAAATATGTCCATGGGAGACCACGAAAAAGTGTTCACATTGAGAGGTGTTCAGGATTAGCCAGGTGTTCAGATATACACTCTCAATATTAAAAGTTACTTTGGGTTATAAAATCTTTCAATACATTGTATTTGCCCTGTTGGCCTAAAGCGCAAACATTTGGTTGAGATATAATCCTTACTTGAGACAATATGAAAAATTGTGAAGACTTATTGATTTGTATGCAATATGCCTTATCAGAACTACACCAAACCATGCTGGTCATATAGCCTAAGAAGAGATATTATACCAAGGGGACTAAACTAAAAGTCATGATTTGATTCTTAATAAATCTTGAGACCGACACTAAAAGCTATCTCGATCTCACTTTGAGTTTGCTTATTATCCTATCGAATGAAGTTCAAGGGATATAGCGAACTGCTCCATTTGTTTGTACGTACGTATGCCATGGCTGTTGATAGGATTTGCTATGCCTTGGCGTTGTTGTTATCTAGTTTCTTTATTTCTCTTCAAATTAATACTACATTTAAATCTACAATTTGTAAAAATATCATGATTGTCCGAAGCAGGTGTAACATCATAACATCAAGTCTCAGTTTGGAAAACGAAGTTCATCAGTCGACTATGCTAATAATTTTTTTATGAAAATATAGAAATAACACCTAAATTAATTATTATGGATATTCAAAAGAGGACATTTAAATCTACAATATATAAAAATATCAAAATTGTCCAAAGCTGTCATAACGTGCAGTAGACCGATGAACTTCGTTCCCCAAACTTAGACTAGTCTTTTCATGACAGCTACTTTTGGGCTATTAAAGTTGCATATTTATTTAGAGTCTTGTATAGGGTGTAGTGAATGCTTCCATCCAATGGGTTTCAGAGTATGTGACATTATACCAATATTGCTAGCTTTAGGATAAGCCACCAGAGAGCTTGAATGAGATGAAAGTGTCATTTTGGATTAATTGAATCGTTTACTTGATAACGTGCTGCATCACTGTGGAATTTGCAACTCATTGATAAACTCTCCATGGATAAAATTGCATGATTGTCATAGTAATGTGAAAAAGAGGGGGGGGGGTATATCAGAATTCATATTTTATGATTTAAATCAGTGTTCTCCACAGGATTTTTCTCAAGTGGGTGCAAAATTGTCATTTTTTTGTGATTTTTCTCATTTTCAAGTGGATTCAAATGGAATTTCAGGTGGGTGCAAACCTCTATTTAAAATCTCAGATGGGTACTGTCCCACTTGCTTTAATGGTGGGGAGATCAATGATAATGTAAGAAAGAGGGGGGATACATCGGAAATTCAGAATTCACAAAGATCTGAGTGACAGAAAAGATGAACCTCTGCCCTCTGGTTCATCTTTACATGAAGATAAGTTCATCTATGAATTCTGGGTATTTCCTCCACTGCTATTTGAGTTGAAAATTATAGAATCAACAAGGGATAGATTGATTGGTCTATGCAGTCAAGATTCTAAATTATATAGAATTGCGGGACATTTCCTGGCTTCGTTATTGAAATTGTGTTCAGAGTCATTTTTTTTAGTGTAAAAACTCACAGCTGCTTCACTGCCCGTGGCAATCACTGTCACTATTGGCAATAAACTTGGAAAAACTGGTTGCATATTTGGGAATAGACTCAGTGATCTCTCCAGCATTAAAGCAAGTGGGAGCAGCACCCACCTGAAAATCCATTTGCACCCACTTGAAAATGAGAAAAATCATGAAAAATGGACATATCTTGACCATTTTTGGTCTGAATTGGGAAAATGAGAATTTTGCACCCACCTGAGAAAAAATCCTGGGGAGACCATTGAGGCTGAATGCCCATTTGTTTAATTGTGGCAATCATATTTTTAACCATAGTCCTGAAGTGTTTTGAAGTGTTATTTCGTGGTTTGATGTCATTGCCAAAAGAAATCCTGTATTTTTTTTCTATTCAGTCACAGTGACTCTTTTGAGGCTCCATCAAAATTGAATGTTTATCTGAGATCTCAGGCGACATTAAGTGTTATAAATTTCCCTCAAGTCCTATCTAGTATAGGAATATCTTCATTTGGAGTTAATTCAAATGGGATAGAATATACCAATTTTCACTTCCTATATTCCAAGTAGAAATGTACCTGCCAGAGAGCACATTGACCATGCAGGATGTGAATAAGTATTTACAGTGACATGGCTGATTATTTTGGGAGAAAATAGTCTGCAGTAAAACCTGTCTAAATGGAATGCTGCCGAGATCAGCTGAATGCAAAATAAGATATTTCTTGAAGAGAAGTTTTCCCACCAGTATTTGAATAAAAAGAACTCAGAATGGATGTTCATATTATAGAGAGATTTTCAGGCTGGTAGCCAGGATTTGCCAATGGGGGTTCACTTTTTATTAAAAAATTCCAGGGGGGTTCACTTAGGACAACTTTGGCGAAAAAAGGGTCATAACCACTTGAAAAGTGCTCAGAATGGTGAAAAACTGCATGATTTTGAAAGAATTTTTGCACGGGGGGGGGAGGGTTCACCTGATTCTTGTAACATGAGAATCAATGGGATATCTCAAATATGGAATCCGAAGTGTTCAACTTGTGAGATGTTCTCCACAAAAACAGCTGTTCATATGCTACAGTTGTTCTGTATATACATTAAAGGAGTGATTGAAAATCATGATCTCAGTGCTCGCTGACTGGTAGAGTTCAAAACATTTTTTTGATTTGGTTCATTTCAACTTCCTTTGTGTAAAATTTTAATGAAAACTGACTGTTAATTTCTGAACTTGAAAATGAGATAAATGAACAATAAACTTCATTCTCTCTCGTTTGTAATATCTATAAGATGAAGTGCTCTGAAATGGAGTGAAACCTGTATATAGTGAATGCCTATAGAACCACAAAAAGTGTTCACTGAAGATAGGTGTTTGCTACAGAGAGGGGATTTTATTCAATGTCAATGTATAATGTGTCTTAAGTGGTGATCCCTAAACGCAGTGTTCACTAGAGAGAGGTGTTCAATAAAACAGGTTTCACTATTCACATGTTAAGGATAGTGAGCTCTAAATAGTTTTTTGAGAGAGAGCACTGTGAGCATATATCATGTCATAAATAGTGGTAGACACGACTCCTGCTTCCTGTGATAAGATTGTTGTACGTATCTTGCAATTAAACTTTCAATGCTACCATTTTTTGTCTAACATTTGTGGAAGATGAAGTTAATTCGGTTAAGGGAGGGGTAAATGGGAATTTTATCATTCAAGTGAAAGGCAAATCAACATTTTCAAATTTTGAAGTTAATTGGGTTAAGGGAGGGGTAAATGGCAATTTTATCATTCAAGTGAAAGGCAAATCAACATTTTCAAATTTTTTGATATGAAGGATAATGATATTAACTTCATTTTTTCTACAACTGTCAATTTTTGTACATTCTGATACTCAGTAGCATCGTCCAGAAAGACAGAGATGGAGAAGATGTTGCTTACTATTATGACATTAGAACATCATTCTTAATTATAATTGTATTTATTTTTCTATTTTTCAGTCTAGTGATGCAACATGTCAACAATTGGCTGAGTGAGAACCCTGTCGTATCCGTAGTACAATGTCAAAGTCTCGTATGGCCTAGCACACTTAATAAACAATTTTTCACAGACCAGGCCATACACATCAAAAGTCGGAAAAATGGCAGCAAGACTAAATGCACCAGAGGTCTAAGGTATGTAGCTTTGACCATTAAGAGTTACCCTACCCCTTGTCCCCTTCTCACCCCCCCCCCCTTATTTTCATCTTCAGGTTGAATGCATCTTACATCATTTGCCTATTATGTCACCACCAGAAGTGGTGACCTATTGTTATAGTCTCCAACTTTTCTGTGGATGGTGTTCGGTGGTTAGTGTTTGTGTTCGGCATTTGGATGTCGGTGTTTGTAAAAAATGGCAGGTGGTGACATTTTGCATGTTAAAGCCTTGTTTTTCATATAGTAATACTTATGTCTTTCTTTTGGTCAAGATTGTTGAATGATTGAGACAATCAAGTACCGTATTATCTCTAATAAAGGCACACACTCCAATAAACGCACGTCCGACTTTTCCAAGAAAGACTGGCAACTTGAAAAACAAAAATCAAGAAAAAATATAATTTATTCGAGCGGGCGATAATAGGGTAATATTGATTTTTAAATTTTAAGTGATTAAGAGGCACTATTTGTAAAAAGGGGGCAGGAGGTGGCACAGGTCAAATTTTATATTTCCCATTTTTTTCGCTATTTTTGGATTTTTCAACTTTTTCAAGATTTTAAGTTGCAAACATGATATTGTTTAGATGTAGCAATGATTATCATATTATATCTAAATTTGCCACATATGATATATGGAGAATAAGGATGAAATTACTGGCACAATATACCCTATTGGCCAAAATGGAAGGATGTTAGGTCAATATAATTGTCTTAATAAAGTTCCCATACCCCATTTTTCATTGCACAAATTTCCCACAAAATAACATTTTTATAACAAATAATGCGTTTTATCAAGCATGATTATTATTCAACCTTCAAATGGAATATAATCCTGTAATGCTAAATATCTAAGTATAAACATCAAATTAGGGAAATTACTAAAAACCTTAAAGAAGCCCAGAAAGAAAGCAATCTCTAAGTGTAAACATTATATTGGAAACTATATTCAATAGCACAATTTCAAAGAGAGCCAATATTCTAATTTTGCACCATATAATGCAAGAAGAATGGTAAATACAAAGCATTATAACATACCTGATGATGTATAGTGCAAAGTGTACACAAGACAGCGGGCCAATATAAGTTTTGAAAAGCCCGCGCCCGCTAACTTTTTGATTGGTCAAGGCGCTGATGTCATAACCAATCAATCGAAGATAAAACTGCGCGAGCAATTTTTCTTAACTCATTTCAATCATTTTCAAACCATTTGTTTGTCAATTCTATAAGAAAACTGTACTCTCTGACCAGTCTACATCATCATATGTATGTTATAAATCGTTTATGTCACTATCGTGGCACATATGCCCTCGGTTCTCAGAGATCAATGTCCCTCCCAAGGTCGGGCCATATATCACTGAGAACTCGGGCATATATGCCACGATAGTGACATAACCTCTAAATCCAACATCATTTTAGAGCTGTCAAGTGTCCCGCAAATGGCAGGATTATTCCGCGAATTTGATCAAAATTAGGCTAATTCGCGTGTCCCGCAATGTCCCACAAAGTCCCGCAATGTCGGCTTTGACCTCCTAATAAAGTATTACAAAAGTTGTACGCATTACGCTGAATTTGGTTAACACTAATTTATTATTAAAACCTGTATGCGTTACTTACTGTTCCTCAGTGCTTTCATTTTTCCTGAAGTTAATGTTTAAATGTAAACGACATGTGAAGATATAACGGAAACTACGTAATAATATTCCTATGCATATTCTGTGAGATTGTGTTGAAGTTTATTTAACACCGTGTTTAAGTTAAGTGCATTATATTTGATTAATCATCAGTATCTGAAAGTTCGTTTGAGTACTTTTACTTTAAGTCCCAATCGCGCAAATCCCTTGAATGTCCCCTGACATCCCGCCAATTTAGTGTACTTTGTCTAAAAAATCTGTCCCTCGATGAAGTCTTTGGTGGTTACCCTGTTAACTGTCCCGTAATTAGAGTGTTTGTTTATCTTTCAAGTGAAGTCCCCATGATGATAAAAATATCAATTGAACAATTTGAGAAATTGTAAATAGGGACCCCACGTCAACAGTTTTTTCAAAATGTTGAACTTATTTGCTCAAAAGAGGATCTTCTTTTTCTTATTTTTATTGCATGAAAACATTATTCAACAAGGGGTCTAAAACATCTTCAAAAGTAGAATGGTATTGAAAGTCTAGTTTTGAAGATATCAATCTTTGATGACCAAAATCATGCTAAAAACAATGGATAGCATGATTTTTCCCTAATATAAGGGAAAATAACATGGGAAATGTGGTTTTTAACTTTATCGCATTTCAATACCCATGCCCTTTTCAGAAGTTATTAATATAGTGGAGAAGAAACTTTTGATACGTTTAAATTGAGAAAAACAGATCCTCTTTTTAGAAAATAAGCCTTACATTTTTAAAAAAAGTGACAAACTGGGGTCCTAATTACTAATTACTATCATGGGGACTTCGTTTTAAAGAAAACATATTATTTTAATAAAACCATTGTATTTAAACCCAGAAAATACTCATGGTGAAAGATATGACTGCCTAAAATCACTTGGCATACTGCACATGGACCTTCGATCAAAATTTGCAATCACGCAAATCCCATAAATGTCCCGCGAAATTTGACGAATTCAGGTGGATGTCCCGCAAATCCCAGGAATTTTGGGCACTGGGTCTAAAAAATCTGTCCCCCGAGAAAGTCTTTGGGGGTTGACGCAGTACTGACAGTAATGACATTTAATGTTTGATGAAAACCCTCTTTAATAAATCCATATGGAAATACAATTTTGAGTAAATAATGACCAGAATGGAAATAACCAATATTATACCATATTTAAATGGGTTGTAGAATTGATACCTTCTTGGATCTTCTTTCAACGGAAAATACTGAAGATTTTAACATTTTATTGGCACTAAAGACTGACAAAGCTGGTCCTGATTCACAGCTAGCCACTCCACGGAGTAGTAAATTCCACCAAACAAAACATGTTTTGATAAATAGCCCCCATCTTGAAAAAAATTGCTTGAACAGAACTCCTCTTTCCCTAGGAATCAGCTTTGAGTCAAATCAGTCCGCTGGTATTTGAAGATTATGTTTTTCTGAAAATGGCAGCCATTTTGAAATTCAATGGCCTCTTGAAAAATGTCTTCTGGAGCAGTGCTCCGTTGTCTGAAAATGACAGCCATTTTGAAATTCAATGGCCTCTTGAAAAATGTCTTCTCGAGCAGTGCTCCATTGTCTCTAGGTATCAACATATCGCGCATACAATTTTAACCAAACCAACTGGTATTTGGGTTACAAACGATAACATTATTTTACAAAGAATGGTGCCATCTTGCAATTTAGCTAAAATCTTGAAAATGTTTTTGTTATGAATAATGGCAGCCATTTTGAAATTTATCGACCCGCTTGAAAATCTCTTCTTTATCATAGCTCCTTTGTCCCTAGGTATCAACATATACACTTTGGACTAAATCCATCAACTGAGTGGCCATTTTGAAAATTCCTTCTAAGCTAAATTGTCCTATGCTCGAAAGGCATAAGCCTGTAAAATTTGAATCAAATTTGTCAACCAGTATTTGAGTTATCGCCCAAACACATGGACAGTGGGACAGGAAGATGAATGAACGTTCTGACAGTTTTCCTGTATCCTCGTTTTGATGAGATAATAAAATGCTTAAACAAGAAGCCATCTCACTAGTTTATGTACTTTTGAGACTTTTTAATAAGATAAAATTAAGCGTGACAGTTGTACGCACAGGGTAAGGTACATCACGAGGATGATGCAATTTGAGCAAACTGATGTTTTCATCGTTTCAGAAAGATTTGGTCTAGTTTCTAGATATTTTAGATTTGAATGTCTGTAACAACATCCAGTGAACAGACAGTGAACTTGACCGTGAATTTCATAATTAAACCTAAATAAATTCCAAATGTAGTATAGGGTATAACGCACGGGTACATTTACCCGAGATACTGTTTAGCGCAAATTCACATTCTTTGTGTTGTACCTTACCGTTACGGTACCTGTATGTCATACCATATACTACATTGGGAGTTTGTGTAGGTTTAATAATTATGAAATTCACCTGTCAACTGCAGGAGCTCCGCATAGATCTATCTTATGACCCATTTTGTTCTTTTTATACAGGGTGACACAAAACATGTCACTCACTAATTTTGGAATAACTTTTTCAACAATTAATGAATCTTCATATATGTTAGGTGTAGACAGAGTATTCCATTATACAAAGTTTTGATCCACTTAATAAAACTAGTACCAAAATTGAAGTCAATTTCCAAACAATCAAAACATTTTGAAAAATCTGCAAAAATAATAGCAGAATCTAATGTTTTTCTATATTTATTAGTATAATTGATTACGTCATTTATTAGCCTTATATTATATCCAATAAATCTTCCTTTAATATAGCCCTGTTGATCTTGATTTATAATAAGTGGTAATATTTTATGAAGTCTCTGAGCTAAAATGTGGGCACATAATTTGTAGTCTACATTAAGCTCCAGTTACTTAATATTTGGTTATCATTTTTCTTATGTAACAACTTTATAATGCCTAATCTCTGAGAGAAAATTAATTGTCCCTTACTGTAACCATAATTTAAAACATCAGTTACCATTTTACCAATTAATGGCCAAAATGTTTGATAGAATTCAACAGTTAATCCATCTTGCCCTGGAGTTTTATTAAGCTTCATGCTAAAAATAGAATTTTTTGCTTCCTCATAAGTAAGGTCTCCTTCACAGAGATCTGTTTCCTCTTTAGTTAATGCTCGTTTAATATTAGTATTATCTAAATAATTTTTGATTTTATCCTTTTGTACATTTTTTGAAGTATAAAGGGTTTTATAGAAATTCTCCTGCATTTGTAATATTTCATTCTGATTACTAACTACAGTTCCATCAGGGCGTTTTAAATTATATATTGTTTGACTCTTCTGTTGGTGTTTTTCAAGGCCAAGAAAAAAATTTGTATT